TTCAATTCCTCAGCCAACATTCTCGTAGTAAAATTTGCATCGATACCAATGATTTCACGGACTTTTTCCACCAGTTCAGCACGATTACTAGTTTCTGGACGTCCTGCTCTAGGGTCGTCATTTAAATCCTCACGACCATTTTTAAATCGTGTAAACCACGTATAAACTTGCGTACGACTCATACAATCATCACAATAAACTTTTTTCATTAATTTTTTTTTCAAGTTTGACACAAAATTTTATATTTGCTCTTTGTTCCATTTTATTTTTGAACCATTAGCACACTTTTGGTTTTATTAAAATGGCTGTCACTTTTACATCTGTCATCCGACTTACATGATGTTAGGTGCGTTTGAAAGAGGATGAATGTATCTTTTTAATGTTGAAAATTTTCAATAGATGGCGCTGTATGTTGTATGATTTACATATAAAGTTCGGTTATTTTTCGGACACACCGTGTATGTAAATAAAATAAATTGTATACTTTATTTAGCATCTTTCAAAAAAATTAGAGAAAATAAGCATTTTTTTGCCTTCAAGACCTACTATGTAACCCCTTAAGGCCTGTGCTGGATTTTTTCGAATAAGGAAATAATAAAATAAAATATGACGAAAGTGTTTTTTTGTGGACTCCATATTAAAATTGACGCCAAACAACAAAACGCGTACTATTTTTTCTAAAGCAAGCTCCAAGTGACAGCTTATAAATGTCAAAAGAAAAAATGCAATTAAATACTCGTAGTCACGAGCTGTTCAAAAAGATTGTCGCCGGTTTCTTTTGGGGCAACCCTATATAAAATATGAAAAAAGTAAGGTATTATTATCAACCATTTAGTATAAATTTGTTTTTAAATGATTTGATTGGTTTAAAGTTCAATGAATTATATATGTATGTAATTAGATGTAAGTGCGTTATAACTAAACTAATCGCTGTAATTAGCAATTTAAGGCATTACCAATCTAATCTTAATCTCTATTTTTTCAAACCTTAATCTAAACGAAAATGTATGTCACAATAAATGCTATTACTTTTTCTTAAGGAATAATGAACATTCTTGCATATGTGAACATAGTTTTTTTTTACTGTTAAACAAAAATATTGTTATAATTATTAATATAAAAATTCAATATTACTTTTTTGCGACTCTCTATGTATATTCGAAAACCCTATATTTGTATAAAGGGTTACTCATTTTGTGACTTCAAAAGTACAAGCTTGTATTTTGACATCTGTCAAACTTAACTGTCAAACCAAACATTTTTTGGGTTTAGTTAGTCAGACATTTATGAAAATGGAACGCTTAACATCAGATCAAAATTGTTAAAACTTACTACAAAAATGGTGATTTAAATTTAGCCACGTTTCGTGCTTTTAGCGAGGATTATAATGCACATAATCGTCCGATTTCTCAAGCAATAATAATAATATTTTAGTGAAATTTGGAAAAACTGGATGGATACCAGATTTTGTCAGGACTGTTTAAGATCATCGTTTTGTTCGTTCCAACTCAAACTGCTGTAAGTGAAAATGTATCCGAGGACTTGCATATGTCTATATCTCGACGTTCTCAAGAATTCTAGAACTTTCGTAAGGCACATTATTTCATATAAACTTACAGAGCTACATGCATTTAAAGTCCAACTCTCACAGCAACTGAGGTGAGGTCACCGAAGAATTCACAACACCGTGCATAGTATATATGTATATGGATTGGGTGCTTGAACTACAAGCAGTGAGCAGAAAATTTACTTCAGCAACATGTGCCTCGTTTCTTGCTCAGGGTAGTCGCATTTGGGGCGACGAGAATTCTCAATTAATTGAAGAGAGGACATTACTTACTTACTTTACTGGCGTAGACACCGCTTACGCGATTGTAGCCGAGTTAACAACATTGCGCCATTCGTTTCTTCTTTTTGCTGTTTGGCGCCAATTGGAAATACCAAGTACAGTCCGGTCCTTCTCTAGCTGGTCTTTCCAACGGAGTGAACGTCTTCCTCTTCCTCTGCTTCTCGAAAACTCCTAACGCCGACTCATCAGATGTTGTCATCGTCCATGCATACGCACCATATAGCAGGACGGGAACAATGAGGGACTTATAGAGTTTGGAGTGTAGTCAAACATAGTGTTTGGTGAGCGCTTTGGTTCGAAGATGTGATTGTATCTTACTTCTTTGAAAACGATAACGGCGCGACTGTCACTGTCAATTCGGAGTTTTCTGGTCTCACAAATGATGTTTTTTGGCCAACAATTGAAGGACACGACTTGAACAATATCTGGTTTCAACAATGGTGGTTCCAAAATGCAACACAACACGAGCGATTATGGCTTTATTGCGAAAGAAATTTCCCGACCGCTTTGGCGATGTCATTCGTGAAGTTGAAGTTGTGGCTGAGATATGGGTCAATATGTGCTAAAAAAAATGGTCGTACTTTTCGACCGGGAAAAGTTTCCAAAGAGGCGGTCATTTGATGTACGTATTGTTTCATATAAAACGCTAAGGCTCAAACTTTAAAATTCAATTTTTAGGAGAAAATTATTTAAAATGTCTTTTATTTGAGTTTATTTCCGATACCGCAAAATAGATAACCCTTTATAATGTAACCATTACTACTGTAGAATTAGTAGGCGGCGAGATATTGACCGTTGACTTTTAGAATCATATTTAATTATTTGTGAGTATTATAATCTGTTTATTATAAAGGGTGTTCGCATATTGTCAATTATGGTATTGTAAATTCCTTAGTTCATTAAAAAAAAAAGAAAAAAATTAATTTAAATTTTTTCAGTACACTTTTTTCAAGACTTTATTAAAATAAATACAAATGACGTTAGCAGTAAACACACCCAAGCAGAACACGGCGTTGGCATACCAAAAACTATATGTTAACAACATTTGTTTGCAATTATTATTAGTTTTTCAATTTGAGGTTTGATTATTTATTTTCAATTCAAAGTTCTACAACTACACTATTGATTATTTAAATATTATAAATATAAGAAACGCAAACTGGCTTCTCTTCTTCCCTGCACACAACACAGCTGATCACTCAGAGCATATTATAAATGCATTCAAATGTACATAAGTACATACATATGCAAATACTTCTCAATTCACTCCATTAAATTGAGTCGTTTGTTTTACTATTAAATTAAAAATCAAAATTTTAGAAAGAAAAAAAATTAGCTGCAAATTTCTGTGAATATTTTTTACCGAAAAAGCATGTGCTCATCAGAGCAACCAACTTCAAGCAGCAAACCCAGTGATGCCACTTCTTACTCAAACTTAAATAGAAACGAGCTTAAAATCGAATAAAGTTAAATCATATTGAAATACCAAATCGAAATTATAAAGTTTGAACGCATAAATTTTCATCTGAAATTCGCTCAAAACAGAACACTCTTTATGTACTCGAAAAAATAATAAAAAAAAAAGAAATGAAATGAATTAAATTGATGTATACAGATTATAGAATCATAAATTTATATATTTATATTATATATGTGCATATGCGTGTGCATGATTTAAAAATATAAACAAATCAGTAAATAAAGGCAGTTAACAGAGATAATTATAGCACGCTGTTCGTAGTTAATCTTTTGTACTTCTATTAGGGTGGTACTTGAATTTGAGTGGGAATAGTACTGTGTAATTTATGCCTCTCTCATATAAACCCTTGTTCCTATTGCCTAAAAAAGGGATCAAACGATTTTCACAGGCTTCTTCACTGGCCAAAGCACATACCATAAACAGAAAAAAAAAAAATTAAATAATCACTTGGTGCAAGGTCCGGACTATAAGGTGAATGCATGAGCACCTCTCAACCAAGCTTCGAAGCTTCTGCCGAGTTAATATTAACGTATGTAGTCTGACAGTTGTCCTGTTGAAACACAACTCCCTGTTGAGCGCTTCTGTGCGATTGCTTCCATCAGCCAGTTCAATCGCTGACACTGCAGGCACCAATCGCACCAATAACACTAACAAATCTTCCTGGCTGTCAATCCTGACTTGGATAACATTTGTGTTAGCTCACTGCTCTTCAACCACAATCGTTTTCGTTTGATGTTACTATAAGAGATTCACTTTTCAACATCAATCAGCACTCGCTTCAGCAATACATCGATTTTGTTACGATTCAGCAGCGATACGGTGATGGAAACTCGGTCCATGAAGTTTTTTTTCTCATTAACTCATGTAGCTTCCATACATCACGCTTCTTTGTGTATCCAGCCTTTCTCCAAGTGTGTTTCCAAGCAGTTTTTTGTGCTTGTTTAGATCCTCGACAATCGAAGCAATACTCTCGTGACGGTCAGAGTCGACGTTTTGAGCATGATTGACTGTTACATTATCAATATCTGAAACACAATACCCCTTTTTACCAGCCTGACTTGGGTTTTTCGACTTTTTCGAAGAATCACTGTAGCACATAGCGTAAGGTCTGTGAGTTAAGTGATCAACACTTCTCGCATTATCTTTTTTAATCCAAAACATCTGCTTTCAAACGCTATCCAGTGTAATCCAAACGTACTTATTGAACATGAGATGTGATGGTCTGTATCTAAAGCTTTCGATTGCAAAAATAATGGATCTCTTTTTACCTGGTCTAAGAAATATTAATAAGTCAAGCGACCTCATCAAGTTAAATAGGTTGGGCGTACGAGTGTCAGCCAACGAATTCTGCAGAAGTTGCAAACAATAGGAGGTATCTGAAACCTTTCGAGTCCTTGGAGGACTAAGTTGTAGTCTCAGTGGTGCCAAATATGCATTCGATGAGTTTTGCAAACTCTCCACATAGCTTTGACTAGCGGTCGGTTAGGAGTCGTTAGGGTCCTCAATGGTATAACAATTGGCCCAAGCCGTGTTCGGCAAAACCTCACCAAACCTAATAATTTTACACAAAATATAAAAAAAATGCACAACCCTAATATTTACAAATACAATTGCTATCAATAAAAAATTTATATGTTTTTTTTTCCAACCAGAATGCGAATATTTTAATAGCACATAAATATTTATTCAGTTCCGACTCCCAAGCGACACACAACGGTTTCAGTTACAGCAATTTGTGTAAAATGGCATTTATCATATTTTTCGCAATTTTTTCAATATTTACATTTATTATTGCACTGTATTTGAAAAGACTAAGCAAAGATTATTATTTGTGGGCGCCCTGCAAGCGTTTGAAAACCGTGGATGGGAGCAGGTTGTCGGAGAAGGTGTATGTGGTGCCGGGTACAACGGTGTTTGGTAATAATTTCGATATACTGGGTTCAACGCCGGGTGAGTGTGCACAAGAGAGAGAGGAAGGCAGAGCGATAGAGAAAAATGAAAAAATAATTAAAAAATTTTTTTTTCCAATTTCAGAGACTATTTTTCTCTGGTGTCGCGAACTCTATCGTCGTACAAATGGCAAATCGTATATTTTGAATTTTTTCCGAGTTTCCGTTTACTCAATAACGAGTCCAGAAGATGTCCAAGAAGTTTTCCAAAGCCAAACACTTATAACAAAGGGTGTTATTTATGAGTTAGCGCGTCCCTTTTTGGGCGATGGTCTGCTTGTCAGTTCAGGTAAGTGGAGAAAAGTTGGTATTGCAAAGCAATGCTTCGAAATACATATCTACATACATACACATACCATTCAAAATCTCATGAGACGGTTTTTCGAACTCTTAAGTATTGTATTTCTCACCCTGGGCGTACTTTTCGTCTCATTTCTCACAATTGTTAATGTCGCGAGAACTAGAAGCTCACGTAAGTGAAGAAAGTTTTTGACTGTCAATCACCTGTGAGTGGCCAAACGCGATTATTTTGAAAATAGTTCCAGCAGCTCACGATATCCGAGCATGGACCAAGTTTTTTCTAAAGTAAGAAAGCGACTCCCATACGGTTGTGCGTAGGATTTGGAACCTACCACATACATAAATATGAGATGATAGATCCACCTTTTGATGATTACACCCTGTAAATGTTTTAAGGATCACAATTTGAGGACATGTACCTGGAATCACAGGGTACTCAATGCGTACCGTCCAAGAGGTGCGAGAGATGGGACAAGCAAGGAAGAACGTGGATCCTTGTGATATCTACCACACATGTCATATACAGAAGGGTAAATTTGGTGTTTGACTTTTGGTTGGGGAGAGACTTCGTCATCGAGTACTTGCATACACTACCAGCGAAAATCCCCATCAAAACGAAATTTTTCAACATTACGCTGATTTGAGCCCTTGCTCCGACGGAAGAGAATGACGATGTGACCAAGGATGCCTTTTATGAGCGCCTCGAGCATACTTATGAGCGCTACCCTGCGAAGATGTCAAGTATTGCGCTTGGCGACTTCAACACTAAGGTGGGCACAACTATCGGAAAATGCAGCCTCCACGACGAAACATCTCGAAATGGATTGAGGCTGGTCGACGTCGCCGGTGCCCGAAATATAATTGTCTGTAGTGCTAGATTTCAGCACAAGAAAATTCACCAAGCTACTTGGCTGTCTTCAAATCGAAAAACTCTTAACCAGATCCTTCATGTTGTGATAGGACGAAGATATGTAAACAGTCTTCTCGAAGAGGGTACGTTCCCAGGGTCTAACATTGACTCGGACCACTATCTTGTCGATGCAGCGAAAATACGCATCCGCCTGTGTGAATCGAAGAACGCCCGTCAACAAACACAAAGAAAGTTCGACAAGTTGCAATCACACAACAGACAGCCGAACTATGGACTTGCTCGACTTTCTTAGAGCACTCATCAGCAACTCGATATAAAGGAACTGTTAAACGGCATTTTAAACTCCTTACATAGCGCCGCTACGGAAGCAACTGGGTTTCGACAATGCTACAAAAAGAGATTGTACGATGTTGAGACAAAACAGACTACGTGATTCCCGACTTTGCGATCGACCACAGCGGGCGCTGGGTGATATAGATACCGACAGCTGAAGAGGAAAACAAGACGCACTTGCAGACAAAAAGAGCACGTCATGTGTGCCGACCAACAAGAGTAAGGTAAAAGACGGGGCGGCTCACAGAATGTTTCAAGGCCGGAGCAAAGACGTAATCCAGTGAGCGATGACCAAAGCATACTTGGTGTATGGAAGGAGGTGTTTATGAAACTCAACACCCTTATAATGCTTTGCAGAAAATGGTCGCACGAAAGCATGTCAGAGGAGTCATAAAGAGAGAACTCCAAAATATCCGCAAATTTCCGAGGGATTAGCACATGCACATGATCTTGGAAAAGACCTGTGATAAGCGAATCGATATCACCCTTAACTCTGCTTCAACCGGGCTTGACAAATAAAGAAAGTGATTAAATCTGGAAGGGAACGAGGTCAAGAAGAAATACCTCCTATCATCAAACAAACAGTCGGCGCACTTGGACCTTGGCTCCCACGTCACTGTTGACAATACATAACTTTGAAATCGTAGATATTTACGCCTATCTGGGAAGCAGTATTAAGACCAATAATAATGTCAGCCTGGAAATCCATTCTGCATTGGATTGACGCGTGCAGTCAGATGCTACTTAGAACTGGGCCGGTAAAGTCCTCACTCGGCGAACCAAAACCAAACTCTACATGTATGAATCGCCTACGACTTTTTCACATGAAACAACTCTTCTTAGTGAGTTACAACTAATCCCCACTCTCTTCTCTCTTCAGACCAACATTGGCATGATAGACGCAAACTGCTCACACCAGCTTTCCACTTTAATATTTTACAAAGTTTTATTGAAGTTTTTAAGTAAGTCTGCTTTTAATATGAATTTCTAACATCTAAAAACGCAAACAATCTCCGCACCTTTTCTCCCTTTTATTCTTCTCTTTTGCAGAAACGAGAGCCTAAAGCTCATTAAATCAATAAAAGCCGAAGCGAATGGCGTAGTCAATTTGCACGACTTGATACCGGAGTTTACACTGAACAATGTTTGTGGTAAGCAAATCGAACGAGACGAGTTAGAGCAAAAACCAAAATTCAATTCGTGCTTCCCTTTTTTCTGCCAGAAACCGCTTTGGGCGTATCTTTGGACGACATACCGGGCAGCAAGGAATACCGTAGAAGCATACATAATTTAGAATTGGTTATGGTGAATCGGTTATGTAATCCTTTAATGTATTATGAGACGATGTTTTATTTGTTCGGCGACCACAAGAAATTCTATAGAGATGTGAAGGTGGCGCATGATTTTAGTAGCATGATAATCGAGAAGAAACGCGAAGAGTTCAAGAGTAGACAACGCGCTGGGAAACTGGAGTAAGGCAATGGGTTGATTAAATTCCTGTTTCCCTCTATATTTAATATGGAAAATTTTGTATTTTGTTTTACAGCGAGCAGGCAAACAAGCGTAAACGCTACGCCATGTTGGATACGCTCTTCTATGCGGAGGCCAGGGGTGTCATCGATCATCAGGGTATTTGTGATGAAGTGAACACGTTTATGTTCGAGGGTTATGACACGACATCGGTGTGCGTTATTTTCACGCTCCTCAATTTGGCTTTACATCAGGATATACAAGAGAAGTGCTATCAGGAAGTGCAAAATTTGGGTGAGTAGTGAAGGCAAGCATTCTTCTTCTGCCTCCTGCTCTTCGTCTTCTATCATTTCTGCTTCTTATTTTTTCATTGCTTCTTCTTCTTTCATTTCTCCTTCCTCTTCTTTCATTTCTCCTTCTTTTTCTTTCATTTCTCCTTCTTTTTCTTTCATTTCTCCTTCTTCCTTTTTTTCTTCTTCTTTTATTTCTCCTTCTTTTTCTTCTTTCATTTCCCTTTCTTCTTCTTTCATTTCTGGTTCTTATTTTTTCATTGCTTTTTCTTCTTCTTTCATTTCTCCTTCTTTTTTTTCATTTCTCCTTCTTCCATTTTTTCTTCTTCTTCTTTTATTTCTCCTTCTTTTTCTTCTTTCATTTCTCTTTCTTCTTCTTTCATTTCGCCTTCTTCTTCTTTCATTTCTCCTTCTTACATTTCTGCTTCTTCTCCTTCTTTTTCTTTTCTTTCTTTCATTTCTCCTTATTTTATTTATTTTTCTTCTTCTTTCATTTCTCCTTCGTTTTCTTCTTTCTTTTCTCTTTCTTCTTCTTTCATTTCTCCGTCTTCTTTCATTTTCCCTCTTTTTTCTTTCCTTTCTTCTTCTTTCATTTCTTCTTATTTTTTTTATTTTTCTTCCTCTTTCATTTCTCCTTCTTCTTCTTTCATTTCTCCTTCTTCTTGTTTCATTTCTACTTCTTCTTTTTTCATTTCTCCTTCTTCTTTTTTCATTTCTCCTTCTTCTTTTTTCATTTCTACATTTTCTTTCATTTCTTCATCTTCCTCCTTTTCTTCTTCTTTTTCCTCCTTCTCTTCTTCTCCTTTAATTTTCCCTTTTTCTTCCTTTTTTCTTCTTATCATCTTTCTTGCTGTTGCTTCTTCTTTTTCTTCTTATCATCCTTCTTGTAGTTCCTTCCTCTTCTTCTTTTTCTTCTTAATCCTTTTTTCCCTTGTTCTTTTCTTCCTTCTTTTCTTTTTCTACGACTTTTCTTTTCGTCTTCTTCTTCTTCTTCTTCTTCTTTCTCTGATTTGTCTTCTTTTTTTCTTCTTTTCCATCTTTCTTTGCTTTCTCTTTCTTTTTTTCTTCTGAGCACTTTTCTTCTTTTTCTTCCTCTTTTTTTTTGTTCCTTTCCTTCATTTTCTTCTTCCTTTTCTTCTTCATCCTTTTCCTTCTTCCTTTTCTTCTCCCTTTTTTTCTGCTTTCTTCTCTTCTTATTCTTCCGCCTTTTTTCTAGTTCCTTTTTCCTCCGTTTTTTCTTTTCGTTCTTATTTTTCTTCTTCATTTTCTTTTTCCTTTTTATTTTTTCTTCTTCTTCGTCTTCCTTTTTTCTTCAGTATCTTTTCAACTTCTTCCTCTTTTTCTTCTTCCTCTTTTTTCCACTTCTATTTCCTTTCCTTTTCTCCTTTTTCCTTTTCTCCTTCTTAATACTCGTGCATCAGAGCTAAAAATTATTTTAATTTCCCAACAATCTTCTCTGCAGACTTAACCACACTCAGCATTTTCGAATTCAATCAATTGGAGTACTTGGAACGTGTTATAAAGGAGGTGCTACGTCTCTATCCGTCAGTGCCATTCATAGCGCGTCACTGCGCGCAAACAACAGAAATAAATGGTTTGATATTGCCACCAGACACTGAGATTAATATTCATATATTCGATATAATGCGCGATGAGCGACACTTTCCGGATCCTCTCCGCTTCGATCCGGATAGATTTTTACCCGAGAATAGCGTAAATCGTCATCCATTCGCATTCGTACCCTTCAGTGCGGGCTCCAGAAATTGTATTGGTAAGCCTGTAGAGTGTAAATGCAATTTGTAGCTTTTCTTATACGCTTTCTTCAACTCATTTTCAGGTCAAAAATTCGCTATGTTAGAGATTAAAGCTATACTTGTGGGTATTTTGCAAAATTTCCAGCTCTTACCGGTGACCACGTTGGAGGAGATCAATTTCGAAAATGGTTTAGTTTTGCGCACGAAGGAAAATGTCAAAGTTCAGATGATTAAAAGAAAGAAATAAAAGGGAAAATCAAATACAAATAAATAGTGTCTTGGAATAACGGCACTAAAATAATTCAGGTTATGTGCGCTAGAATGATCTTATTTACTTACAATACAAGTCCGTAATCATTCTAAACAGCCTATAGTGCTTTTCATAAAAAGCTTCTGCCCGAATTTCTTAAAAAAAAAAAGATTCACAACTGTTGGTTTAGAAGTAGTCTAAAAAAATTCCTTTCACAGAATTAAATGCAAACAAACTCACGAAAATAAAAAAAAAACGCATATTTCAGTCGTTTAATTCACTTCCCTTCGATCAAAGCGTCATCTACCGTTCATTAGCTCATAATAAAAAAAAATTACCTTGGCAACGCTGTAACCATTTTCCCTTCACAACACCCAAGTGTAAGAGAGACAAATATATACACACACAACATTTTGACATTTCATGAGCAGAATTCCAATTAGCATTCTGCGAGAACGAGCGACAATAAAAAACGCTCCCCATAAAACGTAACGGCAATATGGGAACACGCACACATATACAAATGCACCTGCATGGAATGCTTGCATTTTGCGAAAAAAAATCACTGAAGCCAGAGAAGTTTCGGCAGCCATACACGGCAATCCTTACACAATTTTGCATTAATTCCAAAATCACTTGCATATTTAAACACTGCTCAAGGCACTTACCACACTCAGATTCCAATAGAAATGCGGTAAAAAGCACAAAATTAAAAACAAAAGCGCGACTGCGTCCGCGATACAACAACACTTCGGCCATTTTTAATTGAAATTGAAACTGGTTGAGAAAATCAAAACATACATCCAAAACCCCCCAATGACAGCTGAGAAGAGTGAATGAAAAAATAAACACATGGTTGCATTTTGTATCGAATGGGGGATATCTTTTATCGGTTCTTTGTTTATCGGCCATGTATGAAGGGTAGAAACGTAGAAGTTAGCATACACCATACCAAAAATTGACAAAAGAAAAGGCCTACATTTACAAAAGGATATCATGAAATCCTTAAGCCTATAAATATGCATTATAAAATCAAAAATAAATATTTTTAAAAAAGAACAGCGCTTTTATTTTGTTTCATCCATTATACAAGTTGTATAATTTCATTATTCACACCCATTCTTCTCCAACTTCAATTAAAAATATATTTAACCCTCCCATCCAAATTTAAATCGTTAACAATTGTTTACTTCTTGGATTTGCCGGTGGATTTCTGGGCGGGTTTCTTGGCTGCCGACTTGCCGGCCGATTGTTTGCTGGCTTGCGCCTTGGCAGGTTTCTTCTCAGCAACGGGCTTGACTGGTTTCACCAACAATTCACGTTGGCTCTTCAGCGCCTTTACGATCTTTTGTTCCTCAATTAGGAAAGCACGAACGATACGCTCACGCAGGCAACCGTGGCACAGAACACCACCGTATGTACGGGCAACGGTCTTTTGACGTTTCGATAGACGGGAACGTTCACATGGGCGTGTGGGGCGAATACCCTTTAGCTTCTCTTTACATTGACCACACTTTGGCACGGTCTTATTCTTCTTGACATATTGGTACACAAGGCGACCGCCAGGTGTGCGCACACTGAAATGATAACAAATTCGTTAATTACATATTGTGAAACGGTAAGAAATACTGCCAGGTGTTATAAGATCTTTTTGTTGTAGTACACCATTCCATTTAATTGAAGCAACTTGATTAAGCATTACTACGTCAACAACAAATCTAGTTAAAATAATAATCACCATCATGCATGGGTTGATATGTACAGTGCGTGTCACTCAGAACGATGCTAGTCTTGAAGGAAGTGTTTTCAAAACATTTTCATTTGATATTTAACAAACAATATATGCTTTTAATAACTTTCATATAACTTGCAATTGAGTGCCACACAAACAAATCAATTTCAGTCACGGGCAGTTTTCTTCCAGGAAATCAAGTTTTCCGAGATAATTTTACTTACATACGCCTCCTGTTGGACTTGGTGTTGTAAGACAGACGTCTTCTCAAAGTCAAGCGTTGAACCATTTTGTCCGCTATAGAAATTCATAGTAGCACAATTCATTAATTTATCCATCAACACAAAGTTGGAACGTTCGGATACCAGCGAAGAAAAATCGGACATGAAATAGAAAAATTCACATTAGTTATTTGACATTACAAGCGTGAAACATTAATCTGCAGCTTTAATTCATTCAAAGAGATATCCTTCATATAATTTCACAGATGTTTATAGATTTTTTTGTATGATTACCGAAAAATAAGTACGCATACCTTTAAGAAATAAACTAGAAAGGAAGTCGTCGGCAATGCAGGCAAGAGACGTGAAGTTGGCTGTTGTCAAAAAGAACTGTCATCTTGACAATCACCTTGATAGTGGGTAATGCTGTGCGTTCAAAGTTGTATTTGAAGCAATTTTGTTTTCTCATTTGAAATTGTAATGTTAAAAAATCCAAAATTATACAGTTTAAGGCATTTGTTGAAGATCAATAATACGGTAAAAATTTATTTTTCGCTACAAATTTATTGTACCTTTGTAATGTTTGAAAATTATTGCAAGAATTTTATTTTCCGCGCTATCAGATAATGGTCTGGTAGGGATTTCTTTAAATTTATTAATCTGATATGGCAACTGCAATCAATCATCCTCAATTCATTCACACTATTCGTAAACAACAGCAGATTTTTGTTTAATTTTCCAATTTCTGCTAAATAAATAATATTTAGATGGACTATAATATCCATAAAATCTGTAGAGTTTGTTTGGAGGAAGGTGCACTTACCTCCATATACAGCACTGAATTTGCTATGATGCCGTGCACCATGCTAATGATGTGTGCCAAGATAAGGGTAAATTCTTAGCAGCAAAAGAGGTAAACAAATAAAGGTAACAATTTGTTCATATTTATGCATTTTAAGGTTTACAAAACTGATGGCCTACCAGCAGTTATATGCAATAATTGTATTTACCGATTGGGAGTGGCGTATCATTTTAAACAAGAATGTGAAAATTCGGATATGAGACTGCGACAGTACTTGGGCTTACAAGATCGAGGTTATGGGTATGAGAGGCTCTATTATTAAGTATTCACTTTCTCATATTTTGTACTTTCGAACATAGCGTTTGTGATGCAGAAACAAATACTGACCAACCAATTGTTTCAATGGAACATAAAACCAACACATATCTGGAACAGGATTCCGAGGAGGATTCTGATGCGGGCGAAAATGTTAAGAAGAGGTATTAACTAAACATACAAAACCTTAACTTTACAATACTTGTCTTTTATCCAAAAGTAAACGTCGCTCCCGTTATCAACGTAAGCCCCCTGAAGAGCATAAACGTCGTGGTCCGAAACCTTTGCCCAAACTACCACAAACTTGTTATGAATGCAATAAAACATTCAAATGTTCCGCGCAATTACAAATGCATCTACGTACACATACGGGAGAGAAACCCTACGCTTGCAGTTATTGTCCACGACGATTTGCGCAGAAATACAATTTACATATCCATCAGCGTACCCACACTGGCGAACGTCCATTTCAATGTGAGATTTGTTCGAAACAATTCTCTGCTTTGGGTAATTTTCAAGCGCATCAAAAGATACATACCGGTATACGTGATCAGCTGTGTCCAGTATGTCAGAAGGCCTTCTACAGTGCAGGTGATCTCACTAAGCATATGGTTACACATACACAGTTGAAAAATCATCATTGCGATGTCTGTGGCAAGTCATTTAGTCGCCAACGTGATATGCAGGCACATAAACGCAAACAGCACACATTGCCGGAGCGTAGCGAAGACGATGAGGATGAAGCTGTTGATACCACTTGCCCCGATCCGGTGGTGGTTGTGGGTACTGTCGTGCCACATGTGGCATTGCCGGGTACATCTTCTGTGCTACATGAAAGCTTCAAATGTCCTGATTGCGACAAGGAATTCGGTTCGGCGAGTAGCTTAAGTGTGCACTTTCGCGCACATGCTAACAGTAATATTTTGAATTTACCATTAACTGGTCAAATGCCACATCATTATCATACAGCGGCACCACCGCCGCCACCCCCTCCACCGCCAACGCAAGCTATTCTTACACATGATGGTCTACATCCACACACACATCATTTGTCATTGAATACATCATTGCAACCTAACCATCCCACTCATATGACACATCATCCGTCAATGGCACATATGTTGGCAGCTGCACAGCCACCGCCGCCACCACCTACCGCATCAACGGTACAAAGCGGTGCGGCGTTAAGTATGATGCATGCAGCGCAGCGATTGCATCCTTTTTAAAATGTGATGAAAATACTGTAAAAAAAACACATGTATGTGTACATATATATGCAAGGATATTACAGTTATTTATGTCAATGAAAAGCAAAACTACTTATAATCAATTATTTATATATAAATGCAATATTTTTATTATATTTTATGTAAGTATGTATATTTATTTTTACGTATGTAGAATATGTAGATATATTTATGCATAAAATGTGTACAAAAGTGGAAGTATTTCATTTAAATAACCACATATTGTGTGATACAATATACTGTATTAAATCGCTAATATTAAATAAAAAAATATTTAGCATTATAAATTAATAAAATTAAATTTAGCAAGCACAGCTTCTCGTGTTTTTTATAAAATAATTATTCTTTTATTTATTTTTTTTTTCTTTTTAATTAATTTTTTTTTTTTTTGGTTTATTTTTTATTTTATATTTTTTTTTATATTTCCATTATATTTTTAATTTTGTTTAATTTTTATTTCTTTTACTTTGTTTTAATTTTTTTGCTATTTAATTTTTAATTTCTTCTTTAATTTTTGTTATATTTTTTTATTTTTTTTTTTAGTAATTATACACTTCAATACTACAAAAACGCTTTTACAGTTTTACTCTACACAATAAGTATAAAATTAAAAAATGTTGGAATGAATGAAAGCATTTACGCTTATTGGAATTTTTTAAGTATTTGGCGTTTTTGGTCTTTTTACTGTAGACGTATTAAAAAAAAATATTTTTCTTAAAATATTCTTTACTTCTTCTTTTACTAGTTTCGTATTCTGTTTTTATGTTAATTTTAGATATACATTTGTATGTATGTATGGATGTATGTTTTTGGTGTAAAATCGTTGGTATTTTGTAAAGTTCATGCACATGGTAAGTACACCAACAAACATATACACAATATTGCTTATCAATTTATATGTAGTATGTACTATATACAAACTCTTCAAAGAATTTACTTTAGTTTTTCCTTGAGCCATTCTTCAGTGAGTTCATCCAGTTCACGTATTTCATAGACACGTGTTAAATCCACCTCACGTTGGAGTGCACTCTTGGTGCAAGCATACATCATTTGGAGCTCAATCTGGAGAACAGAAATATAAATACATATTTATTATTATTTTATTTTGTAATCCCACTCACTTGGCTATCCCGTGGCGTGTAGAATATAAAACACATTGGATAGGAAACTCTTTGGTCGTCGTGTGTCATTTTGTATGTGTAAATGATATAACGCGGTTGATGCCCAGGCAGTGTTTCTTGCAACTCATCAACGGATATATCCTCGAGTAGTTCGTCCAGAACGACAAGTTGTTTTTCGCGATCAACTTTTACTAAAAGAATACCAATTAATTTATATTACTAAAAATTTTTAATATTGTACATAATTTTATAAGTTTATTTTTAAACGAATTAAAAACTAATTCTTAAAAATAATAAAACTTCTTTATCGCCCCTAAATTGTGTATTTTGTTTTGATACCGCTTTCTTAAAATTTTTTTTGTACTTCAACACAATACAATACTTACAAAGAAAATGTTAAAGATCATATAAAAGGTATAGCAAAAGAGAAAGCGTTTAAAGCACCTACTAAGAGGTAATGAAATTAGCATATAAAAGTTTACCGCCAATTTGTTATGGCCAATGAATATACATAAAAATTAAAAATAATTTACTCACATATTAGTGCGGAGTTGGCAGTACTTTTACGAAAGCGAAATTTCTTCAATGCGTCACGCACGTCATCACTGATGTCACAGATTTTACTATCGCCCTAGGGATTGTACAACAATAAGAACAATAATCAAGAGTAAAGCCATGCAATAGATCTCCTATACTATAATATGTATAACACAACAACAACTACAAAAACAATATTATTATCAATACAATTGATACACTAATGATTCAGTTATTTTCCGCACCCTTTTTTCAACCAATCGTCGTCCCTTATTCTGTTGCTTCGATAGCAACGGCGTGTGATCCATATTAGTCATGTTAATTGTTCTATACATACATATACATATGTATAATTGCAAGTAAAAGTGCAAAAATAATGTCATTATTTAAATACTTACCATAATTATACTTAATTTATTGGCAGGATTGGTTATAATTAAACTCCTGAGTACTTCTATGGAGGAATATGTGTATACGAATATATAAAATCACTTAATGATAGCAGTCAATAATTCCACAGTAGCAACACAAATACAATAGAATACAAACCAAAAATTTGTTTCACAAATTAATGCAGAAAATGAGATCAAAGTGGAAATGACGAAAACGGCTGTTTGTTTGCAAACAGGGTTGCATGGTTTAACAAAGTGCCATAAAAGGAAGTTAAGCGGTAAAACTAATTGAGAAATTATGTATTTCACACAAATAAATGGCTATAGAACATTAAAAAAACCCCTCCTTATTATAATATTTCGCCATTAATTGATGTTTTGATTTACTTTACATTGGTTTACAAATGAAAACGCTTTAAATAACAATAATGAAAGCAAAGAAGCCAAGTGCCGTTAAGACCGGAAATGCCGTTTACTAACGGTCACCATATTTTAAGAACTATTTAATCTTATACTTTCAAGTTGTGCTGTTTGTTTTAAAACATCTGAATATCTTTTAGTTTGGTTTATAAAATGCTTGCTGATTTTCAGGAATTATGGCCATCCAGTCAAAAAGGTGTTTTACCGAAACCGAATAAATTACAAACAATAAATGTTATAAAAATTTGGTAAGATAATTTACGCATAACGGCGTGCACAACCGGCTCTAAAAGCGTCCTTTCACTTTCATTGTTTATAGCGAAAAGCTGAGTTTAGCCATTACACAAGTATGCAATGGCCTACAACGCACACTGGATGTAGCACGGCGTCGATCACGCGAAGAGCTCACCTTTCGTTCCGTATCTGGTCTTTGTTATACAACTTTGCGGATTCATGAAGTGCAAGTCAATAACTTGTTGAGTAAGACTTAAGCAATATCTTCTTTGAAGAAATATATTTATTATCAACATTCCACTTATATCAGACAAGTCAAAAGAGCTGGTAGTGCAAAGTCAGGATTGGTCTACAATGCAAGTAAAAAAACGAAGGTAATAATTTATTGTATACAGTTTCTCAATATAATTAATACATATGTATATTTTGACAGTCAGCCCAGTAAATGCTTAGTGTCATATTCCTCAAAAAAGAAGAGACGTGCAACAATAGAACACACAGTCCAGGATGTCACAATAACAAATTATACGCAGTTGCTAGATGAAACAAATAAATTTGTGGAATGGGGCAAAACTGCAGAGCTCGCAAATGGAAAGGTCTCTCACACAGTTACAAAGCAAGATCGCTGAAGGAGTATCTTCAATAAACCACTTTTTTTTATAAATTATGTACTAGGTATCGAAAGCCAATGGACATAGTAGAACTACCTGCATTCACATACGTGAGATTACCATTAACGAGTTAGAAACATGCAATGAACACTATTTATACGATGAAGATGATGGATTCGGTAGCAATACAGCTGATGAATTAGCTTCATTCATACATTTGCTCGAAGGTGCATATGTAACGTTGCATTACAGATAATTGTATATGAAAACATTTTTTTTAACTAAAATTTTTACACAGACCAACCTATTGGACAAAAATCATTGGCGAAGGCACCCAAAAGGAAGGTAGATGTATACAAATTATTACATTATTTTCTATGGCTATACTTAGTACTTAATTAGGCTATTGAGGCAGCTGTTGTCTGCGAGAAAAAATCGAAAGCGAATGCAGGTATGTAACTTAATTTATTTTAACGATGTATTATATTAAAATACTACAATAAAAAATACAGATCAACTTGTCGTTGCAACATTGGAAGAGACACCCCGGAGCAAGAAGGTACGTCTGTTTCAAATATTAATACATTTTTTATTACCATTAAATTAATTTCTTAATTAGGTGGTAGAAGCGTCTACACTTTGCGAGAAAAAATCTAAGAATATTCAAAGTAAATAAATATAGATAAAAATATTTTTTTAAGAATTTTGAATAAATCTGTTTCTGTAGGTCTACAAATTAATACTGGCCAGGATGTTGAACTCCCTGATATAGAAGTTGCACGATGCAATGCTTCTACTAATGAAGTGATTGAAGATTTTATACCAACTATAAATAACTGCGAAAAGAGTAATTCTCATGATTTCAGGTGAATTATGTGTAATTAATTATTAACTAAATTAATTTACTTGAAAAAATTTACTCAGTAGTGAGCCTTTAAATGATATTAGCTTTGACAACGTTCAGAAGTGTAATGGCCCGGAAGTGCTTGTGCATGATACCCCTAACAATGGAAAAAACATTTCATGTATTTCCTATAAGGTATCAATTTTCTTTAAATCTCCAGACTTTCTCACTATTTCCCACCATAAATAGGCTTTTCCCTCTAGCACGCCCTCTATCAAAAGAAACATTAAATCTCGCAATATAATTATCGATGAACGCTTAGGCCTTACAGAAGCTGAAATGCGTGAGCAGTTGCAAGCGCGTACAAATATCCCGATGAAAATAAGAAAATTTAGAGCGAAGATTCAGTGGAATAGCAGAAATTGCTTGGCAAGTACCAAACATTATGAAAGAATATTGCCATCTGCCCATGAACTATTAACTAGACTTAATCGCAAGTAATTTATAGCATAATTGTACAATATTTAAAAATTTAAAGTTGAATTAAAACATTTTCAGTTGCATTGCTATGCGTAAGTTTAAGGTGAAGAACAGAGTTAAACGTATGAATTTTGAATCCTCTAATGAGAGTACGACCTTTCGTAATCTTCTTTATGCTATTTGCAACTGTGAAATTACTGATCACTTGGCTACACAAATTTACAAAAATTGGAATGAAGTTGCAAACCCAGATACAAAAGTTGTAAATAAATTAAGAAATCCAAGTCAGCTAGATGCTGAACAAAATGAAGTGCCATACTACAATGAATTAACATTATCAACCAATAATACAATCTCAAACGAAGTTAATAACAACAATTTAGAACGAGTTTCTAAAAATACAGTAAGTCCATGCGCAAAGAGCAACATACAGAGTATTTTGGTTAATCAACTTTTATCTCCTTTTAGTCCTCATCTGACGAGCAAGATGAGTGGAGTGCTTACAACATCATGATAAAATTATTAAATTTATGGCGCACTGAAAATATTGCAGACGATTCAATTCCCGTGGAATACATTTTTCCACAAAATAAAACTAGTAGGAAAGTAGCTGCTAAGGGATTTGGCGCACTATTAAGTATTAATAAACTGATATTATCAATAATATTTACTATAACTATTTATTTAATAATTTTTAGAACTTGCCGCAAAAAATTTTATTGTTTTAGTATCAATGGAGCATACTAAGCATTTGCAAAGGATACAATTAGGTGCTGCTTCGGTTAAACTTATACAGCAAAATAAACTAAATGGAATAGCAGAGAAACGCGTTAATAACGGTTATCGCGCTCAAGGAAATTGAATAGATATTTGGAGTATGATATTTAACTGTTGTAAATATACTTTTATAGTATCATCTATTAATGTTAAAATTGTTATAAAAAAGTAAATATTAAGCTGTTAAATTGTTACCTTAATATTTTATCATTGTTACTCAATTTGTTAAATATGGAATTATGAATTAATAAAATAAAAACTTTTGATCTCGCGGAATTTAATCTTTAAGAAATTTCAAAACTGTTGATAATTAAGATGTATTTTCTATCTTAAAATTCTATCTACAACAAATTATTTGGATTGACTACCTTTAAACATCTTAAATGCCTATTTGCTGTGCTAAGCCTGTGTATACATGTAATGACATAAATCCCATAATAGAGGCAATCAATGCCTTTACAGCAATCGTTGACCAAGGTCCAAATGTAAGCACACTGAGCAGACCTTCCAACCAAACTCCTTTAAAGATTGTCAATGCCAGCAAAATTGTCACCAAAGGTTTCAGCGATTTGTTAAGATCATGTCGAGAAAAAAGCCACATTAAGGTAGCAGTAGTGATATGTTGCACCTGTGTTATGAAACATTGACACAAACAAAATTAAAAAAAAAATTACATATAAATATGTTTTATATTTGTTCTTACCAAAAGCACGTTCGACTCTAGGCATTTAAGTATATAAACCCAGCTGAATTCTGTGCCTCGAGCACCCACCCATAACATAATACCACGGGAAAGTATGACTTCAGCAGCAGCCCAACCTAAACCGGTTGTTATCAATTTATTATGCCCTTTACCGGGTATACGTGAGAGTATCAAAGCGAATCCAAGCAAATCGGCGACATTAACACTAGATTTTAGGAGCTCCTGCAAAATCAAAGCCAATCAAACATAGTTTAACTTAAAGCAGTATGCACTCACCGCTAAAAAACTGAATCCCTCACCGGAGCCATTCAGCGTATCAGAATCGAAAAATGTTGCCAGCACAAGCATTTTACAAAGTTGTGTAAAAATATATATACCACCAGCCTGTATACATTTCCAAAAAGCGCCATATTCCGAACTGTAATTGTAGTGTGTACATACATACGAGTTTATAAATATAATTAATTAATAAAACCACTAAGGCTGTAGGTTCACACTTTATGATCAATACACTTACAGTCCTGAATATTTATAGGTGAGATAATATGGCACATAAACAAGTGCTATACAATTTCCAAAGTGATACAAAGTCATTTCGTTGCTGTTTTATTCAGAAAAATTATTAAAAGTTATACTAATAAATTACAGTGCAGAAAAATGCAAAAGCAGGTGAGTGCCGAATTTCGAATTCGAATTGATAAGTTTTCGAATTTCTTATTGTACTTGCCACATTAATCAATGAACTTTGAAAGTGCCCTTGTAAATTCCAGTATAATATTTGTCCTCAAATTTTTAATTATTAATTTCCGAGCTGTTCAAAAAATGTTTTGAATAATGAACTATAACGCATGAGTTATTGCTTTGTTCTTAATTTAAAAAAAATTAGTACAAATGTGGTAAAAATGTTTCATCATTCCTATTAGGGCCTAGCGACATCTGGTTGTAACACAACTGTCATTTTAGGCCAACACCAACTGTCTGACAGCTTTACGGGAAGACACGTATTACCTTGTTTTATTTTATGCACCTTATTTTTTCACTACATTGTTCCGAAATAACGAAGTGATATATCTTTGTGAAATAATTAACAACTGTTTTATAATATACGACTGAAATATAATTTAATCGCTTACAAACGCTCTGCGTGAGTTGCAAAATAGTGTACAATTGCAAATATATATATGAGTGTATGTGGATAAGTGGCAAATAAATGACGAATGTTTGAGTGATATTGACAACACACCCAAACAAGGATAAATAAAAAGCAGACAGGCGTCTGGAAGACGAAACGCCAATAACGAATTAGTAGATTATGAGATGCCAACACGACGACGTCATTATCAGCAAGATACTACTAGATTCTATACAGGATCATATGAAGCCACTATACCACTAGTTGCACCTCAAGGTCAACAGCAGCAGCAACAACAACAGTACAAAAATCCATTACTTGGTGGAGCAGCAGCTCCAACAATAAGTGGAGGCACCAACCAGGAGTCTACAATATTAATTGGGGATTATAACCAACAAGACAACGGTCAAGAATATAATTCGAATAATAACATAAGTGATCCTGACGACAAGTATAGTAAAGCAAGTCGACAGTGGAATTTGCGTTCGATTTCAACCCGTATCCAAGCATCATCTGGACAAGCAATTCGAAACTTTATACAACAGCCACTCAGCGCAGCAGCTGCTGTTGTGACTGGTAATCATACATCACAGAACAATAGTGGTTATACGCAAGTAAGCCCATACGAAAACTCACAGCAAACACTGAAGGTAGAAGAAGCCGAAGAAGAGGATTTAATATTTGAAAAAGAAGAAATTTTTATTATGGCTTCACGTGATCGAACAGGTGAATTTAATAATGCAATACGCTCATTGCAAGCGCGCAATATTACACGCGCCGTCAATATACGTGATCCACGCAAAGCGAAAGAAGTGCAGAGCTATTCAGAGTTTATGATGGTGGCCAAATACATTGGGAAGAATATTGCTAGTGCATTCGCAAAACTGGAAAAACTAACCCTGTGTAAGTATAAGAAAAAATCAGTATCTATCGTAACAAACATATACATGTATTTATAATGAACACTAATTTACACATTCCGCAGTGGCCAAAAAGAAGAGCCTCTTTGATGATCGACCACAAGAAATACAAGAACTAACTTACATAATAAAAGGCGACTTGAATGCACTCAACCAGCAAATAGCACGGCTTCAAGAGATATCGAAAGATCAACGTCGTACAAGCTCGGGTAAACATCTGCAATTACATTCCTCGAACATGGTTTATGCACTGCAATCGAAATTGGCCAGTATGGGCTCAGATTTCAAACAGATATTGGAAGTACGTACTGAAAATCTAAAACATCAAAAAGCTCGTCGTGATCAGTTTGGACAAGCACCAATTGCTGCAAGTACCGTCCGTTCGAGTACCGCGAAACAAGGTTCTCTTCTGCTGAGTGAAGAAAACACCGCCGTGAGCATCGATATGGCCGCGAGTGATACAACACCATTGTTGGGCGCCGTTGGTGGTGGCGGTGTGCAAACGCAACAGCAAATAGCGCTCTATGATGACTCTGAAAGTTATGTGCAACAACGTGCCGAAACCATGCAAAATATTGAATCGACTATTGTTGAACTTGGTGGCATATTCCAACAACTGGCACATATGGTTAAAGAACAAGAGGAGACTGTAGAGCGTATCGATACGAATATACAAGACGCGGAAATGAATATCGAAGCAGCTCATGGTGAAATATTAAAGTACTTCCAAACTGTTTCCAAGAATAGATGGTTGATGATTAAAATCTTCGCTGTACTGATATTCTTTTTCATTTTCTTCGTCGTATTTTTAACGTAATAACAGTGAAGCGTTGTTATAAGTATACACAAATACATATATATATGGTTATTTTGAATATATTTAAAGTTATGAAAATTCTCAATACTTGTATGCGTATATATATATATGATTTATTTAACTAAGTTTTACACGCTGTTAAGCATTTACGTATGGCGTGTATTTTTAATTCTGTAAAGAATAAAATATTCACTTCTACGTATTCCAAAAATTTTAATTATGCGCAACGAGGAAAATGAATGTGGAATGTAATGGATAAACCGATTTATGTAATTATCAATTTATAAAAGAAAAAACATTTAAACCTTTAAATTTAAATAAAATAGAAACTGTTATTGGCAATAAGTGAAAATCATTGCGTATAAATACTCATATTGGGAAACAGGAATGGTAAAATATTCCTTAAACTTTTTTTTCTCAAATAACGGAAACTGGTTTTTAATCGAAAAAAAAAAATAATACATTTTTAGATATTTGTTTCGATGATAGTCCTGTACAGAGACCAGACAGAATTTATAACTTATCGGAAATCTTGTGGAAACTTGCGTCTGTTCATGCAACAACAAAGATTTCGTACTATGGCCTTTCCTCCACACAAGCCGCAAAATATTCATATTCAAGACATACAATTCAATGTATAAAGGTTGTTTCGTATGTAAATAAAAAACTTATGTTGGAGCTTAAACCGTTTACATTGTTTCTTTGTGTATATTACTGCTCTCTTAGGTACGTACTTATGTAGGTATGCACGCACATAAGTTTGTGAAGGTGAAAACTCTATTAGAACCTAACCACAAGAGTGATGTGTATCTCGAATTCAAAATGCCGTTTTTATCACTCTTAATTGCACATATAGTATTTTTATCTTTACTTCTTTGTGATTAGATAGTAAAAATTTAGTTTGTAATATATTTAAGCATGTTACTTTTATAAATTATATACTTGTACAAATATGAGTTAATGTTGATAAATTTATATACATAGTTGTACATACATACATACAATGTATAACTTTTATAACTCGCTATTATTAATGTTTTTTGAAAGTTTTAATAATCTTTTTTTTCGTTTTTATTTGTTAAAAATCTCAATTCATGTGGTGCTATGTGAAGGTTTGCATGAAGTAGTTGATTACTTGCAACATTCTTACATTTATAATTTGAGGATACGCTATTAATAATTATGACTTTCATTCGATCTTACGTACAACTCATAGTTACCCAAAACCAAAAACAAAATCCCTTGGTTTTTTCCTCTGGCTTATTATAAAAGATGAGTTGTTTACAATTATAAAATTATTAGTTTTTTTTCTCTTTATTTTCGATATCACTCCAGCTCGCTTCGTTTTTACGTTGAAATTAGCGCATAAACCATTCTGTCAATAAGTGGAAATAAATTCAATTTCTTGAAAGTACTTTATAGATTCACAAATCTAGTCTTACCCATAAATGTAATAGAAGAATGAAATTAAATATATGGCCAATTTAATCCAACCTTCACGCATATTTTTTGTCAAATTATCCGTACTCAAAACAGTCGTTGGATCGTATAGACCAGCGCCAGTCATGACAGGGCGATTTTTGTAGCTATTTAAATAAAAACAAATGTTTTACAAGTTAAAATATGTACAACTCAAAATCATTGCATAAAAAAATAAAAGCGTTCATAGAACCTCTAGCTGTTGAAAAACATTCACGTGATGATTCATACTTCTAATTTATCATGCCCCGCTCAGATTTTTTTGGTTAAATTAACAATTATATTCCATAACTTCACGTACTTGCTAATCAAATAGATGAACTATATTTATGTAGCTACTTACCGCCATATGTGGTATGCAATTAAGGGTATATTAATACACAAAGAAAACCATTCGCCACAAAATAGGAACAATAAATTGAGGAAAATGTGAAGTAAATATTCGGGCAACACCAACTGTAAGTAAAAGTGTGAAACCATGAATTACGTTATTTATAATTAGATAGAATAGCTCGCTAGCGTAATGACATTTATAATAGCCTTTTACCTAGGTGATCTACTTACCGGATTTAGACTATTGCATTGATCGATGGGATTTTTATAGTCTGTTTTTAGCTCATCAAAGGAGATTACATGAAATATAGCGAAAAATATTAAAAATGCATCTCCTATTAATGCCACTATATAAGAGAATGCTGTGAAGTTGAACGCCATTCTGTATATTATTCTTTGATAAAACTATCACACAAACAGTCTTCTGGACCAGAATGTGGTTTTTTTAATGTTGTTTTTTAACAAAATCTTGGAGTAAAACAAAAATGCACAAGAATCTGATTTTTTCACAAGAGTCCAAAATTCGAGGGTTTGGCAGATGTCATGACGAATTTTTTGACGTTACCAGTGCAGGCAAAACGGTTTAATTTTAGTGTAAACATCTGAGCTTCGCGTTGCGTTGCACATTAGCTTTGACAGCTAACATATATTTCATAAAGACCATTATACTAAATGGATATTTCAGGATTCAAGTCGCAAAGATAGGCAATTCTCATAATTTTTTATATTAGACCCCCAAATTCATCACAAAACAAGATAATTAATAATGGTTCCATTGATATTCTCATATATATTTACTGACTGGTTCCAGAACAACCAGAAATTGAAGGAATTGAAGAAAATGTAATAACTGATGACCTTGCTAAGGAAACAACAGCAATCCCGTCTAGGAGCACCAGAGTCCTTTCTATCTACTGGACCGTACATAATAAAAGAAGAGCTGAGAATCGAAGAAAAAGCAGTAAGAGATATATATGTACTGGTGTAGAAGTGACGAGTTTAAACAACACAAACGAGTGTATAAATAATGGATTAAATTAAAATATTTTACTTAACAAACCTAACCTAAGAATACTAACAGGATTACTTTCAAGACCCTGCGGGCTGCTTACTCACATGTATAAAATAGATATCAGAGCAGATTCTTGCAGAGATATGCAAATTTCCTAACTCCTCTGTGTCTATGAGAGGGCAAGTACTCACAGCGAAATAAAAAGCAAAGTATTTCGCCTTGGTGCATTTTTTTCCAACACTTCCTGTTTATCACAATCAGCTGATTTTGACAAACCCCTACAAAGATACAAAGAACAATAAACCCCATCTGGAAAAATAAAATTTGCTTCATATCCGTCAAGAAAGAAAAATTTGCATAAAAGTGAGTTCAATACAATTCGATGTACATATACTAAAGTACTTTAGATAGATAAGATAGTCAAAAACACTTTAATACTTTTTTTTAGAACAAATATGAAATATAGAGTTTGTTAGATCACGGTGAATCAAGCACTAGCTGCTGCATCCATACAAGCGGCTTTTAACAATCAAGGCCAACATAATATTTAATATAAAAAATCTTTGGTTATAAACAAATTAATTCAAAAAAATATACATCAAAATGCATTTCGCAAATAATATGTGGATATTTTCTTTGCAACATTTGCTCGCATTACTCGTAATTTTTTGTTGTGCTACGAAAGCTGAAATTACAACAACACAAAATGTACTACATTCAAATAATGTTGATACAGCAAATGAAGCAACAACTCCAACAAAAACAAACGATATACCGGTGAGTACCCGTAACGCTGATGCAGTATTGTCAATGTGTCCAAGTATGCTGAATTACGTATTCGACAATGCAACACCACGAGATGAGGCTAATGCAGGCACATTCATTGAGTATACCAGACTTGATACTGGAATGGGCGAAGACGTTGATTCGCTTTCATGTTTAGCGGCTTGCTGCAAGAAAGCACGTACCAACGACACTTGTAATTTGGTTTTTATTTTTAAAAATAAATGCTATCATGTACGTTGCCTCAGCAATGAAGGGTGTTTGCCCAAACAAAGAGAACAAACGAAAGATCGATTGCAAATGATGCTAGTGAGTCCGGTTCGAAAGCATGGTATAGACGATGAGAATCTTACCTGGCTGGAAGTAATTAAAGCAATGAAAAGTGGAGGCATGGGTATTGAAATGCCGACGGCAGATGATTCGGAAATCGCAAGTGGCGGGGACAGACAGCCAAATTCGTTGAGCTTCTGGAAACAACCGCACAAATTTCGCTACTTAAGTAGAAATCAGGTGCGTACAAATGTTTAATATCAAATAGAAAGCTTTTTCATTTAGAAATACTTCAAATTAATTTTTATATATAGGACCTTTCCACCTACGACGAGGATGAAACTACTAATGCAGAAAGTGTAAAACAAATGTTCTTGCCAATGCCTAGAAAAAACGAAAATTTAAATTTCTTTGGTTCTAATCTGGCGCGTGAATTAAACAAATATATTCAATGCGAATTGGATATGTCCGAATTGGGAGCGAATAGTCGTTGCGGACCAAAAGAAGTATGCATACCATTGCGTTCAGAATCGGCCACTGGTATCTGCCAGTGCCTCACTGGATTGGTGCGTAATCCACAAGGCGATTGTGTACCAACAGATGCAACGGCCGCTGATTATCCCATATTAGAAGATATTTCGCCGCAACGTCTCTCCATGACGTCTGCGGCATCCGAGCTATTACCCTCCATTGCCGGCCAGGACAAGGAAGATGATAATGAACACGTTGTAATCACTACAGTAAAAGCTGAAACCGACAAGAAACTTGTAGTATCTGTAGTGTCAAAAGAAGTACGTTTACCGGAAAAGGAGGTAACACTGGCTGCATTTACTGTGCCCGATGAGGAGACCACTGGAAACAAATATAAATATTTATGGACACTTGTAACACAACCCAAAGGTCCTATGAACGGCACGATTTCGGATCAAAGTCAATCCAAAGTGCGACTATCAAATCTCTCCGAAGGTTTATATATATTTAAAGTTTCTGTAAGCGGTGATAATGGCACCTATGGGGAGGCAATGGCTAATGTAACGGTACTGCCAGAAAAACGTACTAATCGTGTACCACAAGTGGTGATTAAGCCCAAGGAGCAAACTATACGTCTGCCCATTACAAATGCGATTTTAGATGGTAGCACAAGTACGGATGATGATAAAATTATTAGTTGGCATTGGGAGGTGGTACAGGGCCCAATCGGTTATCAACCTAAATTGCCTGAGGTGAATATATTGCAATTAGGTGATCTTAACTCGCCTGGCAACTACACATTCAAACTAACTGTTTCTGATTCGGATAATGTAACAAATTCTACAACAGCTAATATAACAGTATTGAAAGGTACTGATTACCCGCCGGTGGCCAATGCTGGTAAGTGACATTAAGTATTAGTTATATGCAGATGTATACATTTGTTTGCATATATGAATATATATAAATATTGTTTACTTTTATAATTTCAGGTGATGCAGTCATACTTTACTTGCCGAATAATAACGTGACCTTGAATGGAACTGCGAGCACCGATGATCACGAAATCGTTGCCTGGGAATGGACAAAAGATGCTGGCGATGATACTAAAGCTGTTGATATGCAAAACACACGCACTCCATACTTACAGGTAATGAACTAACTGAGTTTTTTTTATTCTTCTAATTCAAAATGAAAATACCTTACAGCTCTCCAATTTGGAGGAAGGCATCTATACATTCGTTTTAAAAGTAACTGATGGTAGTGGTCAATCTAGCACCGCCAAAGTGCATGTATTTGTAAAGGCGCAAACAAACACACCGCCTGTAGCTGTCGCGGGTGGAAATCAGGTGAGAAAAAAAAAGTTATTTGGTTTTAGTTTTTTGTTTTAGCTGATCAAACATTTTTTTTTACTTACTGTAGACTATAAATTTGCCACGCAATTGGGTTATACTTAACGGTTCCGCTTCCACCGATGACATACGCATAAAAAGTTATTTGTGGAAACAGAAATCTGGACCAAATACTGCAGCATTGGCCAATAGCACAGCTGTGGTGTGTAGAATTCTTTTTTTTTTTACCAAATTTTAAAATGTATTAAATAAGATATATTTTCTTCTCTAAGACCACAAATGCCACTTCTTTAACATTGGGTTTGTATGAATTCGTTTTGAGTGTAACAGATGAGGATAATAATACAGCAGCTGATAGTGTTTGGATAAAGGTTGTGCAAGGTAAGTACGTTGAAAAGGTGATATTTGATTTTGCTTTTTTAATCAGTTTTATTTAACAGAGAAAAATGCCCCGCCTGTCGCCAATGCTGGTGGCGATCAAAGCGTTACGTTACCGCTTTCGGCGCTCTATCTGAATGGCTCTTCGTCATCGGATGATTTAGCTGTAGAACGTTATGTATGGACGCGTGATGATACCAGCTTAGCGGCGGGTGTTGTTGTTGGTGACAGCGATAAGCGTCCCGTGTTGATTGTAAGTGAATGTGATAGAGCAAGCTCTTACAGTTTTTTCTATACTTTTTTACCGCTTTTCAGCTAACAAATCTTGTGCATGGCCGTTATGTATTCAAATTAACTGTTTACGATGAGCAAGGTCTCTCCAGCAGCGACACAGTCAGCATTATAGTACATGCCGATCCACTCCTATTGAATTTAGTGCAATTAACGCTACCCATGGGTCCATCTGTACTGACACAATCTGAATTAAACTTGATTGTACAAAAAATTGGCTTACTTTTGGGTGATATGAAGATATTTGTGCGTGAGCTCAAATGCGATGGACGGCGGGCGGATTCAACAATACTGGTTTTCTATGTGGAGGTAAATATAGGCCACACTTGAGCTTTGAGTGCTATTGTATCAAATATTTGTATATCATCTTTTACGCTACAAAGTCCATCGGTCCGGATGGTCAAAGTCATCCGGTTAATGGCTTGACCGTTGAACAGCTACTTAAAGACAAGCTACAACGTGATGCTGGTCTGTTGGGTACCGATTTTACAGATATACGCACAACTATTTGCCAAAATAAGTGTTCCGGTCATGGTGTTTGTAATCCCGTTACGCGCGCCTGCATCTGTGAGGCCTTCTGGATGCCATCTATAACTTACTACTGGGGCATAGAGGAGGCTAATTGTGGTGCGTAAATTAAAAAAAGAAGAGAAATATATATCTAAAAATAAAATGGTTAATATGAAATATTTTCATTAAAAAACTCTCTTTCACAGATTGGTCTATTTTATATGTTTTTGTCGGTACCATAACAAGCTTTTTACTATTATCCGCTTTCTTCTGGGGCATCACCTGTGCTCGTAGGCAAACGAAAAAACCACCGAAACGACCAAAGTTACAAAAGTATTCGCTAATTGGCAATAATGATGAAGAGGCACCGCAATGTGAGTTTCGTTCTAATTTTCTCTTTGAAAAAATTATTTAAATTTCTTCTTTTATTTTCGCTTCTAGTTTGCCGCACAACATCGCTGAGCGATTCCGAGACAGATTCGGATGTGCTCTTCGAAACACGCACAAAACCAAATGGTATTCTACGTAACACAGCAAAAAATACTAAACATAATAGCCATGGTCAAAATAAATATACCATAACGAAATTAGGACGGAAAGTAAAGACGTAAATCTGTGTGATTATGTACTTTCTATTTATTGTTCCTTCTATTACCATCTTGGTTCCTTGGGTTTTATATGAATGTATGTAACTTAACTAGTTTTGTACTTATGTATATATGTATGCTTTTTACTTGCATATGTATGTATGTATGTATGTATACACGCTTCAATTCACGTCGCGTTAACTGTGTTAAAATTAATTACAGCAAATGAACAATGTTTTATTTACGTATATGTTTTAAACGAAATTAATAATTAAAATTTATATACGTGTATGTATGTATGCTTTGATAAATTGCATATTTTATATACATACATACATTCGATATATTTACGCAACAAAAGCGCATAGCACTGAACACATTCCACATTAAGTATTTAGTATTACAAAAAAAAATTTTATATTATTGTATATGTATAGAAGCAACCCAAAGAAAATACTTTAAACTTGCCTTTTAACTCTACTTTTACTTTAATCATTCCATTTTATTTATTTTAAGCTGTATTTGATTGTTTTCAAAAAAAAAAAAGTATTTTTATTATTTTGTTATTATTATTATGTTTTGTTCTTTTTTATTTTGTTTGTACAACAACTTCAAATGTGTGCAATGTATTTGAGTCTTAGCAGAACAACAACAACAATTATACAACAATGTCTTTATATATGTACGTATGTATAAATGTACTTAATGTAAAGCTGAAATAGTAAACTATTTACTTAAAATAAATATTGTAAAACAACATATTTTCTGTATTCTTTCTTGTACATACGAGTATATGTATGTACATATGTACATATTTTTCTAGTAATTGGAAAATTTGCGTTTAAAATTATAATATAAATTTTTATTATATTTATCGTAGAGTGGATGTTTGCGCACCACGCGCTCATAGTGCAACCACTCGGCAGCTATGGCGCAAATACCCAGAAAATAACCAATACCAAGTGCGACAAATGAGCTCCATATTTTTGGTAAATCCATTACAGCCTCTTGAGGTGTACGCTCTTCGGCGGGTAGCTCGGCGACGGCATCTTTTAACCATTTCGCGATGAGTCCTATGAATATGAAAAGAAATTGATTTCTACACATTTATAAAGGAAATTCAAAAGAGTTTTTAAACAAAAAAAGAAAAATGATAAAAAATGTTTTATAGTCAATCTTTGCGGGAATTTCTGTCGTAAGACGAAAATTTAAATTAAACAAAGGTGAGCTCTCTTCGCCTCTGTTTAACTGTTAATTTTCAAAGCTCCCTACACCACATGAATGGGTCGTTTTTATATTGTTGTTGTAGTCGCTGCAATTGTTGTTGGTTTTTTTTTTTGAACACATTGAGGGAGTGACTTTACTTGATCGTATACAAGTTCTTACCACGGCTAAATTCTTAGACCCCTAACCCCTAGGCGTGCCCTATGCTTCCCTTATGCTCAGGGCTGCTTAATCTTGACATCTGGCTAGGATGTTGATAACCTTGATGCGAAGTTGAATGGCTACCTCTCCACTGCTTAACCGGCCCACGGAAATCTTACTTAGAAAGTCCACGGCAACCCATCTGGATGAAGTAGTAGCGTCTAAATCCATCTAAATCCGAATGTGAAAGACGATAGTGTGAAAATAGCAATGCTAAATAACACATAATTCCTGTTAATGATAAGCGACATGCTATTTTAATCCGACTGCGATTGCTACCAAGATACAAGGGCCCAAAAACATCTTCGAGTTGTTAGTCTGTCACACTTGGGTCGAAAACACAGAGAAACGTTGCTGGTATTTTAAAAAGTAAGTGGAAATCTACTATCTGCACACCGAGAGACGTAGACCTTGGGAAAGGTCTCCCTAAAGGCCAGAGCGGTAGGTTATTACTTCTGCACCACCCTCAATGCGAGACATCCAATCTTCAGGCAGTATTTGTTGAGATTCTACCGATTATTCCTGTAGATACCTGCTTGAAGCTGAGGCACTTGTAAGGCATATCGTGCATCGTGAGCTTGACCTACCGCACTCTACTCAGCACTCCGAACCGCTGGAAAGAGCAAGTTACCGTCATTCGTAGTGAGAATGCCTTTAACAGTTCTCTTCCTGTGGATAGAGTGATTGGAATTGAACCACCAAGTAATTTTTGGCGCAATTAAAGTCTGGATACTGTAGTAAACTCAACTTCTACATATTTAGAGTCCCCGCATGACTCTAAAGATGTCTACTTATAGGACCAAACAACACCATTTTAAACTCTGTTCTCATTAATGGCGCTATCGTAATCAGGCATCACCTTTTGCAGAAGACCAGCTCGAGCTGCTCCGTGAGACCCGCTTGGTAATAGCCCCCTTTGGTTCGAGCCTGCCGACACACTTTCTGTGCGAACGGTTTTTACCGCAAGAACAACAGAAAATACAGAAACATACTCAGCATACTTGGGAAACTCTCTCTCGCTGCTTAATTTGTCTGTTTTTCAGGTTGGAAGGACCGAAATACTCAAGGAGGGGGAAGCCAACAAGATTTCTCTACCTATTTTCAATATATTTGTAAGTTATTTCGCTTACCTCCTTCCCCGAGCCGCCTCAAATATTTATTCACATTCGGTTGTAGTGGTGAATTCTTTTCCAGTCCCAATGCCACCGGCATCTGTATGACACATTGACGCATAATATGCAGAACCACTTCAGTGAATTGTTGCTCCTCGCGACGTTGAGCGCTCTTCATGCGCAGATAACGTAAGAAATATTCGTTATCGAAATAGGCGTATTCACCTTTGGTTATGCGCTCGGCCTGAAAGTCAATCGAATAAGTTCACTGACAACTGTGGTTATCACGAAACTAACATTCGGTAACTAACGGTTTTACTCACCACACTTTCGATATTATCCACTATCTCCATTTTGCCACCAATCTCCTGTGCAATCTCATCGAAGGCCTCCACAAAGAATTGCTTATTCTCATGCACCCAAGCGGTGCTGGTGACATAACTTTGGGATAGTTCCTCGAGTGTATCAATGGTAATACTAAAAAAAAAAATAATTAATTAAATAAATATTAATATTTACCAATATGAACCTACCGCGCCGCCGGATTAGCCAAAATTGCCGTTAGACTGGCTCTATAAATAACTGTAAGCAAAATACAGTAAAGCCAATACCAGCCGGTGAGCACTCGTAGACTCCAAGTGCGTGGCAGACGTGGCAATGAAACATACATCAACATGCTGTAGGTGAAGAGCAAACAATTGGCGTATTCATCGAAGAGATCAGTACGCTTTCGTGGCAGCGACTTCAATTGACTCAAATAACGTCGAAAGTTCACATCACGATAGAGTTTTGTATCGAAACTGCGTGGTGGTGGACGAAAGAGTCCCTTACTGCGCCACTCGGACCAATTCAAAACGTGGTGGGTACGGCGTGATCGACGTTGTAGCAGGATGGCGTGTAGACACGAGATCATATAGAAAACTGTGCCCACGATGAAGAGTGACAAAACTACGCTTGCCCACATGGTGCCACTGGCGAGAGATAGCGAAAGTGAGAGGTAATGAGAGAGAAGACGATGTTAGCCGAAGGTTTACTTCTAAAGTAAACAGTGTTATACTCACCTAAACGGCTGTATTAGCGTACGCCAACTATCGTCTTGTGAGGACTCTGGCGTCAGAAATGTCAAACACTCGAAACTATGCGGCCAAGAGAGATCCATAACCGAGGTATAAAGTTTATACGTGTGTAGATTACCAATAGCGATGCGCGCATTGCGATTAGCCTGGAAGCGAAGTGAGACAGTTATGGGCTGTGTGGAACTTGAGTTAAGCTCAAATTTTGATCTCTTATGATTATATGCTGAAAAAAAAGTTATTCGGGTCGGGGCTTAGGATGTGTTGGTATAAGACGAAGTATCTTTGGTGCAATTAGAAGCTAAATATTTAAAACCTGAAGTGCTTCAACATGGGAAGGACCGATAAGGTGAGAAAGAGTTAAGGACACGGTTCAGTGAGTTTCAAGCAGTTGTTATCTTATGTTCTGATATAACTTTGTAACGGAAAACCTAAATACTCCTGTAGCAGGATAAGGAGAGCTGAGCTTTATTGGTCTGATGCACTGAGGTCCGCTTCCGCATTAACATTTTGTAGAGAAACTATGATTGAAAGCTAGTTGTCGCAATGGGCTCTCCACAGGAATCAAGATCAACGCTTTTTTTTAAATCCGGAAATACGAATGAGTTGCTCAGAGGTAGTGAAGGTATACAAAATCTCGGGCCACCCAGAGACAAAATAAGTCGGTATTTCAAAATATTAACAGATCATGGCTCGGGCGTGTCTCAGTTGGTACCTCGCATCCAATTTATCGTCAGAGATATAGAAGGAAGCTTAGGCTCGGTTTCAATATTTCACTTTTCCATACCATATCGCCGAGTACACCCGAGTAACTGCCATTCGGCAACTCCTTGCCCCAATGTGCGGAGGCCGCATCGCTGGTTTCATAAAAACTCGCCTTAAAGTTTAGTTTAACCCCAAGCGCTTTGATAATCTCCACCTCTAGGCCAACAAAACTGACATTATCTGCGCCACGTCTAACCATGGGTACATGTTCGAAGACCACGACAGGCAGTGCGAAGCCTGGAAATATAAATATACTCGTATTATAGCAATCAAAGTACCTTCCTCGTAAATACGCACCTTTTAAATTCGACGTTCTATCCTCATAGAGTCTATTTATCTTTATGCGCTTGCCTCGCTCCCAGAACATCAGTCGTTTAGTGACGACGAGACCATTCAACACTTCTGGATAGGCAATCGTGCTTAGGAGGTATCTAAATATTTCAGAACGACTTTGAAAGGTGGAAAGTCAATATTTCACTCAAGCCTACCGTTGATTCTTAACCGGCTTAACGAATAACGTTGATATCATATTACTCCATATATACCACATGTCGGCCACCAAAAGACGTGTGTCCTGCAGCAACACATAACGTTGTTGTAAGTTGAGTAAACGATTCTTCTCCACGAAACGTAAAAACCGTTTCACCTGCAGACCATTCAGCAGCGTCACAAACACAAACTCACAATTTTGTGCACGTATTTTCTTCAATACGCGCACAGTCTGATAGTTGGGCGCCAATAGATCCTCCGTCGGCAGTACTTTTATGAAAAAGTAGGCGCCGGGCGTGCGTTGGTTGCGGAAGAATGAAGAGTCATAAAGCGCTTGATACGTGTTGTCGGTGATGATGACGAAACAACGCTCAATACGTGCTGCCCCAAGAAGTGTGGTGAGTAAGTGTTGCAGATTGCGATGGGGTGGATCGTTCAGTGGCGCTTCCAAGAGGCTGTAAAGTTGATTATTATATCAAATAATAAAAAAAAAAAAAAAATTAGCTCAAATACTAATACCTCAAACCTTCATCGTCGGCTCCACACAACTGCATAAATTTGAGTAGGACTAAAAACAGACCGATTGAGTTTTTAAGCATTTTATTACGAAAACCTGCTTCCGCCTGAAATTCCACTACGAAACTAACAAATAAGTTTACCCACTTTCTTTGCCGACTTTACTTTCACTTTCATTTTCGCCGTTTACTGTTGCGCATTCAAATTCCAATTACACCTTGTCAACCTTTGACCCAGAATACGAAATGGTGTTGCGGTTGTGACAAGTGACTTAAACCCATGACTGTATTCGCGATGCGTGACCACAATGTGCGCGCGTGTGTGGGAGAAGGTTAGATGAGGGAGCGGAAGAGAGGCAGAGAGAGATTGGGTTTGTCACAGTCTGAACGAACCGTGGGTAGAAATACTCACTACTCAATTTGCAAAAAATAAAACTGACCACTGCAATGCGGAAGAGTCTGGTTTCTGACTAAGTAGTGGGTCCTTTATTCGAACTACTCCTATATATATAGTTGGATCTCTGTATTGCATTGTTGTGACAGCATTGCTTCACCAGAGTTTTGACTGCAAGCGAGCAACGAGCCTGAAGCAAGTAGCTCTCTATACTAATGTGTGTTTTGCGGAATGAAACCCCATCAAGAAACGCGGTTGTGTGTTCGGTTTGGAAACTGCTACACTGAAAAAGATTCATAAAATGAAATTCTTTCTTTTCTTCGAAACTTCTAAGGCATAAATGTTAAAAAACATGCACCTGACGAGCTCGGTCTCTGGGTTAGAAACGAGCCGGGTTCAAAAAATTCGATGTTCCTGTGAAAATAAAGGTTGATACCACAACCATCTAGGGAATGCGAGCGATAGATTCTGGTGATGGATAGTATAATTGTCATGAAAACGAAGACGAGTTCGTTGTTGGGTTTGTAGTACGAGATGTACTCTGCCGTCGTGTATTATTCTTCACTCAGTTGACTAACCGTCTAGCCCTGATCAACTTAAGAAATAATATTACCTCATCATACCGATGAGAAGTCTTAAGCTTTGCCGAAAAAGAATGCTTGCGTCTAATCCTAAAAGAGGATTACGAAGTATCCAGGTCTAATCCTAAAAGAGGATTCAGAAGTATCCAGCAACAGATCGCAAAACATAAAACTAAATCGATATATTTGTGATAGCTGGAAAACACTGTCATACCTACAAGGCGTACTTTCTGAAGTCCGAACATAAACTACAAACTTGGTCCCTCTAAGATAGAGTATCCACATACACTGAAAAAGTTCATTGCGGTCTTCTACTCAATATGCACTCCTCCTTTTCGAGAGCACTCTCCAATAGAACGGTATATACACGACGGTCTATCACGTCAAAGTCACCTAATGCTTGACCATTTTAAGTTTTTTTCTTCAAAAGAGTCACTTAATTGCTTGGAGGAAAAAAGGAGATTCGGGTATCGTAAGTTATGAGATAGCCAATGAACTGGCTAGATAGAGAACTACCCTAAAAAACGCTCACTAGGCCTATTCAAGGATGTAAAGCATATGCCAGAAACGTTTTTATATCTTCAGGAAAATAGGCTTGGGGAGGAAGAAAGGTTCTCTTAAAGCGGAAATTATGTGCAAAGTGATAGGCGTAAATCTTATTAGATTTCCACAATGAACAAAGAGGTCAGACTTCATGCTGTTAAGAGGTTGTTATCAAATTAGGCCTGGTTGAATGCAGTAAATGCCAGAAATATAGGGACGGAAAGGAGGCAGTACGACACCTAATCGGTGAATCTTCGGAGTTCTGTTAACCTTGGCACGGATAAGTCGAAGCTTGACAGAAAGGTAAGCGTGATAGTTTCATCTTGAGAACTATCCAACGAGATAATACACAGACTTTCAGATCAGTGCAATGTTCTTCAGGTAATAGAGAAGCGGTGAATACACTTCTTCAGAGAGTGTTTTCGGTTGAGCGGAAATTGCTGGCCTGAGTTCACTTTGAGCTTTAAAATTGTGCAGAAATATTTTGCGCTTCTATCTGTGACGTCAACTTGAAAGCCTGCTGGCGCAAGATATATCACGGAAGCTCAAGGTGTTTTTTTCCTAATTTAGAATCGAGACTTTTACATACAATGAGAGTTCTGGTTGAGTATTCAAGCAGTGAGACTTGGGGAAGGGGATGGAATAATCTAAGTGTGTATACTTTCTTTAGAACTGATTTACGTTTGCGAGTCCCACTATATTCTTCAAGTTGTGTACTCTGTTGGAATACGCTCATGATATTGACATCATTGGTCAGCAGCGCTAGATTGGCCTTTTTCCGACTGTATAAGGAAGCAAAGAGTATGGCTCTGAAAGTGAACGAGGGCAAAAGAAAATCTACACAAACACTCATCGCATTAGCGACTCGGGTCACACGTCACTGTTGAAAGTCATAACTTTGAAGTCGTAGATAACTTCGTCTATCTTGAAACCTACATTCACATTGACAGTCTTGAAATTCAACGCCGTATCGCTCTTGTCGGTAGGTGCTATTTTCGACTGAAGTCGCTCTTTATTCCCGTTTTACTATATGGTGCGTGGGCATGAGAGATGACAATGTCTGATGAGTCGGCATTGGGAGTTTTTGAGTGAAATGTTTTGTGTAAAATTTATGGTTCTCTTCGCGTTGGCAACGGGTATGTGCCGACACAGAGATAGCAGTAGAGAAGGACCTGGCGCACTGTTGTCAACTCAGCTACAATCGCGTAAGCGCTGCCTATGCAAGTTAAGAAGAAGAACGCGATTTAATTCGTGGGCTGGAGTTGGTATATTCATAAGACTTGAATTGTATATTTGTACGTTGAGTAAAAAGCTAATAAAATGTTTTATACTTCCAAATACAACTCGCCTCTTTCAAACGAAACTCGTTTCTATGACGACGCGAACTCAAAAAAATCGAATTGAAGTAAATAAAAATCAAACAGAGAAAAAGGGAAAGAATAGTTTTACATTGAGAGATTCCGTCACAAAGCTTTAAAAAAGGAAAACTTTTAGTTCGATAAAAAAATATACATATATACATATTTCTTAGATCCTTTCTACCGTCAGTTGTTCGCACGCATCCAACATGGATGAAGATGAAGAGCTCATACACGTACAATCGCTTCAAGAGACCACCCCCGATGCAATTGCACAAAACCTAAAAAAGATCGAAGGTGTAATGAAAACCCGGCAACAAGCACAAGAGATGGGTGATCGACAGGCGAAGGGGGACAAAGATGACGAGAAAAAGAAGAAAAAAGAACGCCGTCGTGTGAACGAATCATGTGGCAGTTGCCCAGAACGTTTCTTCGGCGTCAAGAAAACCATTGTGACACAAGACTCCGACTCCACTGAAGTGGAGTCCTCAACTGAAGAGGAGGAACGTTGGAAGGATATTGCGCGCACTGCCGAAATACCCGCCGAATATTATAATATACAGAAGTTGATAAAATACATTAAGGCTGGCAATCAAACGGCGACCATTGTATCGCTTTGCTGTCTACGTGACTATGATTTGCGCACGCAAATCAATCAAATGGCCGTACAGGATATAGGCGGTTTGGAGGTGTTAGTCAATATACTCGAATGTAATGATTCGCATTGTCGTCTGGGCTCACTTTATGTGCTCGCTGAAATCTCATTAAATATTGATATACGTAAGACGATCGTAGATTTAGGTGGCATCCCTCTAGTTGTGGATATTTTGAATTCGCTCTCGAAGGAACTGAAAACAATGGCTGCCGACACATTGGCTAATGTGTGTAAGGTGCGTTTAGCTCGGAAATATGTGCGCACCTGCGGTGGTATACCGATGCTCGTGGATATGCTGGATGTGGGTTTGCGGTAAGTTTTTGTGAGAGGGCTTAGCTCTGTACACAGAAGTTTTTTTAAAGATCCTTCCTTTTATATGACAGTATTCTACAAACACCACTCGAGGAACTAAACACTGCGGACTTGGAATGTTTATATATGGCGCGCGCCGGCGCTCGTGCCTTGTGGTCCTTGTCGCTTTCCCGTCACAATAAGGAGCTCATGCGTAAGAGTGGTATTGTACCGTTAATGGCTCGTTTGCTCAAGTCGTGTCATACCGATGTTGTTATACCCATTATGGGCACCATTCAGGAATGCGCTTCGCAGGTAAGGATGAGTGAAAGGTGTCGACAGCTCTGGACGAGAGAGGGAGCTCCGTCTTTTGGTTAACAATTTTCCATCAAAATTAGACGATTAGATTTTTATAGTACCGACGTAATTTTTGCTATAAAAATAAGGTTTGGCATTTACTAAGTTTTTTCTGATAGATTTACCGACAAAGGTACGCAGAAGCTTAAATGAAGTATGCAGCTTCCAGCGAAGGAATTTTTTTGTGTATCAGAACAGTAGCTCAGAGTCCCTATCAAAAGCTAGAGGTTTGACCTGATAAGTGCTAGAAGATTTCGATTCACCATGATTCAACCTAGGCCAGAAAGTGATCGCCATTGAATACGTCATCATATTAACCCACCATTCGTTAAGCTTTGATCAAGAGTCAGGTTATGATGAATCAGAGTACAGCTGCCATATTATGTCAATCAGCTTCCTTCATACCAAGATGCATAGTGTGCGACGAGGAGTCGCATCCTCTCAGAGATAGCCCGTTTATATAAATAAATTATATGGATGTATTCCCCGGAGCTTGTCGATCATATCTTCCCTTCCTAATCTAGGGTGCCATGAGTTTCCATGGCCGTTGAATGGTTTACAGTTAGTTACGTCCCTGACACCGGTCTACCTTTGGCGGTAATGGAGAATTATTCTGGCATGATGATCTTAGCGTAGGGCGTCAACAGACCCGAAAGAGTCTACTCGACCTTCAATACCAACAGCAACCAAAGGTCATATGCAAGCAACCCCCGGCAGGAAAAAAGCGTATGCCCCTAAGTTACAACGCCAGCTGGGACACTGGAGGCCGTCACACGGCGTGTTATAGCAGAGATAACGGAGAAGCCACAAAATTTTGCACCGGCTTAGCCTTGAGATAAAATTCTGTACCATACACTACTATATCTTAATCAGCAGGGCCTACCGATAGAACTCTTATAGGTGGTCGACAACCTTTAAAGGATTTCGAGCTTTAAGTTCCATACCTGCCACACAGCTTATGGAGGAGCAGAAGTTCAACCTCAAACGGGGCAAAGACGCAACCAATGCCTGAGAAAAGTGGGTCCAAAGGGAAGCTGCTGACAAACCACAACCCCCATCAATAGCTTAATGATCTAGGTCTTTGCAAAACCGCGAGGGGATAGAAGAATAAGTTCACAAGCCACCGCAGAGTATACAAGGCTATATTGGTTAGGATTAAATCCATGTCCGAAAACATGATCGACGCCTAAAGCTCTCTCAGCGACTCTTTGCCCTAGCTGGGACTTGTCTGTGAAGAAATACGGTGTGCCATGTCTCCATACTCCATACTCCACTTTCTAACCGATTATTATTAACTAATTTTACATTATCACCAACACAGCCGAAATTCCAATTGGCCATCACCACTGAAGGTATGATCGCCGATATCGTTACCCACTTACATTCAGACAGTTTGGATTTGAAGACCGAAGGAAGTACTGCGATTTACAAGTGTGCTTTTGATCAAACAACACGTGACTTGGTGCGCTCCGCCGGTGGTCTAGAGCCACTGGTCGCCATAATCAAAGACAAAAATGTACGTGATAATAAAAAGTTGATGACCGGCGCCGCGGGAGCCATTTGGATGAGCGCCGTTTCAGAGGCGAATGTCAAGAAATTAGATACACTACGACTGATCAATCACCTCGTACCACTGCTGAACGATGACTCTGATGATGTTATCACCAATGTGGTGGGCGCAATTTCAGAATGTGTACGCTTTCAGAATAATCGTGAGGTTTTGCGTGGCGCAGGCGGTTTGCCAGCTTTGGTAGCACTCTTGAACTCCTCGCATCCACCGCTGCTGGTGAACTTGGCTAAGGCGTTAAAGGAGTGCGCCGAAGACATTGAAAGTATGCGTATATTGGAAGATTTAGATGCGGTGCGCTTGATTTGGTCACTACTAAAGAATACCGATAAGAATGTACAAGCATACGCCGCTTACGCCATTTGCCCGTGCGTACGGAATGCACGTGAGTCCGGTGAATTGGTACGTAGTTTGGTGGGCGCTATGGAGTTGGTAGTGGATTTGCTCAAGTCCACCGATACGCAGGTCTTGTCTGCCGTCTGTGCTGCCATAGCCACCATAGCGAAGGACACTACTAATCTGGCAATATTGACGGACCTTAAGGTGATCTACAAACTGGCAGATTTAGGTTAGTGCGTGCCTTAGAGATAAACACGGATAAAAATAATTGGGGGCTCTTTTCTTATTTCTCACAGTAAATACTAACGAAGACTTGTTGCGTGAAAATTTGGCTGCTGCCATTGCGAGTTGTGCCACATTTGGCAATAACACCCAGGAATTGGGTCGTCTGCGCACTGTAACGCCCATCGTCAGTTACTTAACGAGCAATGATCCGGCCGTACATCGCACCACAGCCATGGCTCTGGAGAAATTATCAATGGATCCACAAAACTGCATTATTATGCACCAGGTTGGTGGGGGAGGGGAAGTAGTTTACATACTTTATCTATTTACATCACTTCTTTTCTCTTTTCCCAGAGTGGCGTTGTGCCCTTTTTACTCGAGTGTGTGGGTTCAATTAACAAAGACACTCAATTGGCTGCAGCCGGCTGTCTGCGCAATATCCGCGAACTGGCTTTGCGTGCCGAGGAGTATCTGTTGAAGATCGATGAGGAATATTAAGTGATTTGACCTCGGATTTGGGAGTTTTTGTGGAAAACGGATGTCTCATGGGCAATTTTAATTATTTATTAAGCTATTTGCTACACTAATCTGTGCCTTGTAAAAGAGACGAGATCTTCGCGAATAAATGGCAATAATTTAAATTATTTGAAAGCTTCAATACGGCTAATTTTGGCAAAAGAACAGGGTTTCATACATTTTTCTAGGGATATCATGTGGAGAATGATTTGCTTTCAGTGGGTGGTTCCAAAAGGCGAAGGAAGTGACTTTAAGCACTTTGGACAACAAGAGATGTAGAGTCAAGTGAATCTCCTCTTTTTTGGTTTCCAAAGATCTCACAAAGGGACGATTCGGCTCCTTTTCAAACTGGTGACTGGGTTAAGTGTGGACAGCGCCAAATAGCTTATCGGAGCTGAATTTAGTATTGTTGGGACATCTTAAGGTATTAAATATAGAAAACCAAGTAACAAGAAATCGGCTGAGTACCTAGCATGAAGTGTAGTCGACTCAAGCTCTGTGTGTACCTTACCATTTAAGATATTTATATCTTCCAAGACATCTCCTATCACAGCTTTACGGACTTAGTTCGTAAGGTCAGTGCATTCTAGGAGTAGATCCATTTTCAGCTCATATTGTTTCTTCTTAGATATTCCCTTTTATTCCGTGTAAGGCATTTTAGGGTTTCCAATGTTGGACTCCACATTTTTATTTGATGTTAGTTGTCAGGAAGCACTCAGGACAGATAAAGGTCAAATCTATATTCTTTGTATTCTGATTGGGAGGAGCACAACCTTTGATGGAAGATTTCCGTCAGCTTAATTACGATTTCTTACAAGTTTGGATTTTTACTCTTCCTGTCAAAGAGTTATTGCCCTTTAAGAACTGGGAGACCGTTTGATTTGGGGGAATGGAACAATGTGGCAAAATTCAGAAAAGTAGAACAAATTTTCGACATATTTCAGCCACTTTCTTTCAACAAACTAGCGCAGAGAATTCGCCGAAGACAACATGCGCTAAGCCGACATTAGGAGTTTCGAGTAAAAACCTTTTCATAAAAGAATTATAATCCCATGAATTCTAGCGACAACGATTACTGCAGACGTAAGAATGATGTCTGGCTGTATCACGTCACTCCAGCAGCTGAAATCTCCGTTACAGTGTTCGCTGATGAAAACAGCGAAACATGTGCACTCCGGTGGAACAACAGATAGAGTGCAATCAGTCTGCACATGGTGAACTCAATCGGTGCCAAGTTGCGAAAAGAAGCATTGACTGGCGCGCTAACGTTGACTCGGGTGTAATCGCGAGAATGGAATGGGATGAACTCAGCTCTTGCGCGCTGAAGAAAGCTGCCTTGCCAGTTTACGGCAATTCCTTGAGTACTTATAAACTCCTTTTCCGAAAAGGTTGTTTCACGACTGGAAATTATTAAATATATCAGTCAACTACTCTTTTTTCTTCTTGTTCTTCCATTATCTAGTTAGTTAGTAAACGAGTTGAGATGCTCGATTACTGCGTCCTGTTTGAACTACCTATAGTAGGCCTGTGAAAAGTGGCTTATGCTCCTACCTAGATTTTCGAACCTTTCTAGTCGGAATCAAAATGACCGGGGAAGCGTTGTCGCGCCGAACAGAGTACTAGACAGCAGCAGAAGTAATTCTCTAATCTTCTTTTCTATGTATCCCCAGATGAAACATCCACCTACCATGGGTTCCCATCAGACAGTATCTTATTATTACGCCTGTTGTTATGCTAATGCAGGCCCTGTTTAGAAGAAGTAAAACCTATTTTCAGTTCTCTTTGATCAATGGTCAGCACTGGTGATTGTCGATCTCAGCAGATACCTTGCCGAAGTATGTTCATGTCGCAATGGGTGCAGAATTAAACGGGCACAGAACTGTTCTCTTTCTAGATAGCTCTTCGGTTGTTCTGTATACTAACATTTGATGAATTTTTCTCGAGAATTTCGACCAATATGTTATTTGAAGACAGTGTAAAGTACAAACAAAGAACATCTAAAGCAAACTTGTTTTGAAAAGTGCGCCAAAACAAAGTCCCAATGCGTTAGAACATGCAAAGAAGCCATTAACCTAATATCGCTGTAAGACACAGTGAATATCCATATAGCCCCTGGTCAGACGGATGTAAAAGGCAATGATTAGGCCAACACGGCACGGCGGAACTATCACCCACGACTGCCTCAGATGCTGTTTAAAGCAGTGGACCATAGAGGAACACTTAAGGCCTTGGAACTCTTCCTACTCAGGATGTACCACTAAATTACTGTGTAACAGCTTGAATTACAGTTATTAAGCAAAATAGAACTTAGCCTACTTATGGGTGTATTAAAGCGTCACCTAGACCTGAATGAGCTAAAGTGGAATCAGCTGAGTGCAGAGGATTACGTAACGTTGGAGCATTAAATATTTGCCAGTATTCGGCCAAGAGCAGACGATTGAGACGTCACATAATTCACGATGCTCCCATGGCATTAGGATACACAAGTGAGCACTATGAGCCTACTCAATGGCTTAGGTGTGGGCCCTTGAAATTAGGTCCACCACCTCCCGTTTCTAACATACCAACCAACCAAACGACATGTTATAAACACAATCTATGCGATATTTTTCATAAGGGCAACGCTAGATATTTTGAACTTCAATAATCTCTTGTGCATTTAAGTGCCCGAAAGCCTTCTTCTGACTAATCAGTTTACATCAAAAATTTTTTTTCTATTTAAGAGAAGAAAAAATATTTTAAAATGAATTTTCTTGCATTTATTGATGAACATACATTGTATATATACATACATTTACATATATACTATATGAAACCATTAATAAATACTTATGCCATTAAAACAATCAGTACATAGAAAAATACATGTATAAAACATATGTACATATGTACATACATACAATATATCGTGCTTATTATAATGAATTTTAAAATTTTTTTTTTATATAAATTCCTTTATTTTGAACCTTCTTTTTTCGGTTAAGTTTTTTTTAATAAGCGTGCAGCGCCCCCATTTGATATTTTAAATTTTTATTTTTACTCAAAAACTGTTTTTAAATTCAATTTTTTTTAATTTTTGTACATTTAGCAAATTCTTTACGCACTCTCCGTAGCAACTAAAATAATGAAAGCCTGAAAAAATATTATACAAACCACATTTAAGGCGTGCATGAAGCTGAGCTCTCCTTTTTTCACTCTCTTACTCTCTCTCTCTCTATCTCTCTCCCACTCGTCAGTGATGTATTAGTAGTTAATAGCTCGCATTACTGCCACGAGCTGAGATACTCATGCGACGCTCAACACGATTTGTGTGCGGCATTAAACAACCAGGCGGTGGATAGCGCCAACGACGTGGTCGCGATAAAAGCGTGCCATCCGTTGAAGCTCGACTACGAAATGGTGTATCGATGTTACTACGAGAACTGCACAAGCTACCCGTGCCCAGCTCATCGGTGGATTCGGTGTGATCATTCTCCTCCAAACAGGCTTTACCTGTTATATTGGTAAGAAATTTAAAATTTTTAAATTTATTTTCAGATTTTCACCAACCTATTATGAAAAAAGATCTACGCGTCTCGTTCGCTGAGGAATCATAAAACGAGCAACCTGAGTCAGGACTTAGCGCGGAATCTGATACATTTTGTACATCGCTGGTGGAACGTTTCAGTTTGGAGAACTTGCTGAGGACGCGCCAAAAGCGGAATACATCACGAAATACAGCTTGAACCTAAGTATACCATTTATATATATATATATACTATATAAATATATATGAATAAAAAAAAACTTTTAAATCTTGTAACTCACTTGATCAATACTCTCCCTCACAGAGATCTCATGAAAAGAAGCACATTCAAGATCTCGTGAACGCCGTTGACCCTCCTCTAAGCTAACCATGCGATCACCAGCCTGATCAGTTTTGTTGCCTACAAAAATGACTGGCACATCCGAGAGTGAATCCTGCAGAGAGGAGGTGAGAGAGAGAGAGAGAGATAGAGAGAGGAAAAAATAGAGTGCAAAGTTAAAAGAGAGAGAGTATTAAATAAATAAATTAAGCTCAATAGTAGTTTTATGCCCTTCACACTCATACCCACCTTATTATTCGAACCCAGCTTACGTCGTCTTTTATAGTAATGTATTAAGAATTTCAGTCGATTGCACTCATCAAAACTACATTTATCCGTTACCGAGTACATCAGTATGAATGCGTCGGCCCAACGTATGTTCGCATCTAAACTGACGCAGTCCTCTTTCTAGAGAGAAGATCGTTTGAAAATTTAAAAAAAAAGAAATATTTTATTTAACTTCTTACATTCGGCTGTCCAGCTGCATCTAACACATCAAACTGTATGAGTTCATTATCAAATGTTGTACTATGTGTATAGATCTTTTCTAGGTTAGGATCATATTCGCCAATGAAACGTCGCGTTATAAATCGCACAACCATGGCTGTAAGTCAAGGAGAAAAGAGAAAAGAGAGAGAGAGAGAGAAAATATATATTTTTTCAATTCAGTGAAGTTTTTACGGTCTCACCTGATTTACCAACCCCGCTCTGTCCCATTACCATCACTTTTAGCGATTTATGTTTTGTGGTGTGTATACCCAATTTAGCTAGTGAGGACTTCGGCGATGTGGTATTCATTGTGGCTAAAATAATGTTGGAACACCTGAAAGAAAATAAAAAATAAGAATTTAATATCACATCGCATTTCTAAGGTTTAAGACGTAGTTTGATAACAAACTTAAATAAAGGCGAAATTTGCAATCGGTCCCAGTATACCTTCACCTTCATGGACTATTGGAATACTGCAAGTAATCGTCGCGTAAGACGTCAACGCTTTTTTCGTGAAGTTTAAGAGGGCCTTAATACCCAGTATTAAAACTTCCTCTAGTGCTCTGAGCAGTGAAGCTTCTAGATGTTTGGTATCTCATGCCTGCTTCCCTTCACTTCCTACATGCAATGCATTAGTAGCAATGATCCATGTAGGAAGTGAAGGGAAGCAGGCATGAGAGACATTACATTAGACCTATTGCTGCCCTGCATTCCTTTTGAGATTGTGTAAGCAAAAATCATGTACTCTTTATTTGCTGCACATGACTTTGGCGTTCTTGTATGTCGCTAAGTTACACGTATTCATATGATCCTGCTCCGTCTTCCTGCTCTTTGAAAAACTGAGTTTTTTGTCAAAGCTATTTCTCTTAAAAAGCTCTTTCTACTGATATAAGATTTCTTAGTCGATTGGTTGGTCAGAATATGACTTCGTGTTTATGACCTCACCATTTATCACCATATCTAGTTTGATACCATGTTAGGCAAAATGATTTAGAGCTGTTGAGTTTTTCGGATAAAAAGTACTGACCACCAACAGGGTTGATTTTGGACGCACATTCTTAGATCAGAACTGTGCAAGCCTTCCCTATATTGCGTCAATTATTTTTATGTCTAAAGAAAAGCTTAAGAAAGAGAGTATTATAAGCTTAAATGGATATCTGTAGTATCAAATTCCGATTGTCATAGTCGGAAGACGTATTAAAAGCATTCTGGAACGTAAGAAAAGCTCCGAACGGGAGTGATGCCAAGAGTTAAATAGAGAAATGTATTTGTAGTTAGAAAAATTATGAGACCGAAATACGTGCATATGAAGAGCTTGAGGTGTTGGCCGACAAGGAGATAATGCGCAAAAGTTCTATGAAAGAATGTAGCTCTTAAGAAAGGTTAAAGAGTTCAACAATGGCCGGGCAAGTGCAACACCGGGAGATGGTATGCCTAAAAACCCTTTCGAAGACTATAGAATGAACTATTAATAAAGATGGCTACGAGTCTAATTTACTCGATCGAAGTGCACTGTGGTTAAAGCTAACTCTCTCAGTTATTGAAGATGGAAAATGTAAGTAAAAGAATACAATATCATATTTAATGTCATACTTGTATATTCTCTTCCTCTTCTGGCATTGGCTTTCAAATATTTCAATAGCCTTCGAGTGGCTAATAAATCGATATAAGAACCTACGAATTTCATATGAAAATTCCGTCGAAGACATTCACATACAATACCGAGAGCTGATTGCATTTAGTAAAATCATTTCAAATCTTACTCTATTTGTAATTTGAATGTGTCGCTCAATCTTTATTACATCTCTTCAATGTACCACCATATGGCGAGAGAAATAGAAAAAGATTTTTATATACATTTTTTTCCATTTGCACTTACAACTTCATATATTATGAAAAACGTAAATAAAACACATTGGAAACATTCAGACGCATTTTTTATTGATTACAAAATAACTGTCGTAACAATCCGAGAATAGCACCCATATGTACTCAATGTATTCAATATGAGTTCATAAGACGTTATGTATTAACACATGAAGCTGTTCATGCTACATACCTACATATGTATGTGAATATTTGATTGTTATTTGCATAAACGTGTGTAGCAACAAAAGTATTATTTAATCTTGTTTTATTTAATTTAAATTAATTTTTTCTTTTGTTTTTACTCTTTTACTATTTATTTTATTTATACTATTTTATTTTATATCGATTTATTTTATTTTTTTACTCTCTTTTTTATATTTATTGAATATTATTTTATATTACCTAATTTTATTATATTTTATTTTATTAAGCTCGTTTTTGTAATTTAATTTATTTTTTATTCATATTACTTAATTTTTATTTCAATGTAGTTAATATATATACAATATTTGTAACCGCTGAAGCGATTTTCGGCCGAGCTCCTCGTGAGCTCGTCTTGATGTTTTTCCAACCAATGGACCTTACAGTTTATACTTCAGTTTATACTAAGCAGCCTCCGAGCGGCTGATGGGTTTTTATGTGGAGCTCGGAGGGGCTGACTTTTCCTGCCGTGGGTCGACCACATTTGGAAAATTTAGCTTAATCCTTTAGTTAAATTAATTTTCTATAACTTTTCGGGCTTTCCGAAAGGCAGTACGCATTAATATAATTTAGTTTAAATTTTTTTATGACATTTACGATTTTGCTTATACTTTATTCGTTTAAGTTAATTTATTTTTTTTTATATAATTTTTTATAATTTTATTTTTACTTTATTCATTTTATTTTAATTTCAGTTTGATTAATATAATAATTCAAATTTCTTCATTACATTTATTATTTTGTATATATTTTATTTATTCTATTTAGTTTTATTATTATATATAATAAGTTATTTAGTTTATTTGATTTACTTTTTTTTTTAATTTTATTCATTAATTTTTATTTTATTTTAAATTTAATTTTATTTTATTTCTTGTTACTTGTTTCGTTTTTTTAATGTAATTAAATAAAATTTTTTATATTATTTTTTTTATAAATTTTATTTTATACTTTATTGCTTTTATTTTTATTTCAGTTTGATTAAAATAATAATTTATTATTTTGTATATATTTTGTTTTTTTATTATATATAATAAGTTTTTTAGTTTATTTGATGTACTTTTTTTAATTTTATTCATTAATTTTATTTTATTTTGAATTTAATTTTATTTAACTTTTTGCTACTTCTTTCGTTTTTTTTAAATTTAATTAAATAAATTTTTTTTATATAATTTTTTATAAATTTTATTTTTACTTTATTCATTTTATTTTTATTTCTATTTGATTAATATAATGATTTAGAGTTTTTTATTACTGTTTCATTTACTGTTTTGTATTTTCTTTAACCATTTATTTGAATTTAATTTAATTTTATATATATAATATAATTCACTTACTTATATTTAGTTTGATTTAATTTTATTTTTTATTTTATTTTGTTTTACTCGCTTTATTTAATGTAACATAATTTTTTTTAAATCAATTTAATTTTATTGTTTTTGCTTTTTAATATTTTTTTAATTCTATTATATTTAACTCTATTATATTTAATTTTATTCTGTTTAGTGAAATTTAATTCTATTCGTTTTTCTTTTATTTATTCAAATTTTATTCAATTTTATTCCATTTTTTATTTTATTCTATTTGTTTTATTTTTATTAATTTAATTTAATCTTATTTTACTATGTTCTAATTTATTTTATTTTAATTAATTTAATTTAATTATTTTCTTTTTTATTTTTATTTTTTTAATTCAGTATAATTCTATTCGTTTTTATTTAATTTTTTAATTTAACTTTTATTTTACTTTGTTCGAATTTATTTTATTTTATTTAATTAAATTTTTGGTTAATAAAATTTTTCTTTGTTTTCTATTTAATTTTATTTTAAATAATTTTATTTCAGTAATTTTTTATTTTAATTTATTTAATTTTTGACATTTCAAGTTCATTACGCATAAACACAGTGAAGTTTTAAAATTCACAGATTCTATTATATAAATAAAATCCATTCGATTTGTAAGTACATACATACATTTGTATGGATATACATATGCGGATGCAAATTGGAGGAATGTTGAATTTAAGCGGCCATTGAACTGTTAGGCCAAAGTGCTGCGTTGGGAAAATGACAAGTCATTTTTTAACATTTGATAAATTCATAATAATCCGGTAACGTACGTAAACACGATGTACGCACACGTATCTATGCATATAAGTATGTAAAAATATAAATGCTCCATCGCCATGGAAAATGAAGGTTGAGTGAATTTCTTTAGAACTGTAAGAAAATTCTCAGAAATGAATTTTTAATAGGGATTAAACTGAATTAAAAGCAAAAGTGCCGGGAGATACGATTATGTGGAGTATAGGAAAGACACAAGTGTTCTATTCCCACTATGTATTAGCTTAAAAAAAATATTATTTCTGCTGTGCTGTAAGTATTAAAGACTTACGTTTCGTGTAGTATAAGCGGCAACTTAGAACGCACACACGTTCCTATGGAAACATTTAAAGGTAAGCAGCACGACAATGCATTTTTCTTTATCTGTATGTGTACATATGATATGTATATACACAGATACAAGTCTTTGAGAAGAGAAGGACGATGTGGCGTAAGATGATTTTTATGTGCGCTGCAACCTTCACGGTGTCAAAATTATGCTTGGCTACTTTAAAGCCAGGATGGACGAAAATAAGGTATCTTCAGCACAACGTCGGTCCCCAAGATGAAAGATAACCAAATGGGTTGTGTGTAGTACTAAATACCAGCCATAAGAAAATTAATGAATTCAGCATAAAACGTTCCGTAACGAACATAATGAGGGTTAGACTTCGAAAAGCTACATTCACAAGAGGTAGACGAATAATTTTAAGCTCGGCTTGCACTCCTGATCTCTGAGTGCACTTTTCAGCATTTCGGTATACTTGAACTGTGGGACGATATTTCAAGCAAAACTGCCAAGAAATGATTGAGTTTCGGAAAGGCCAAACGAGTAGCTGGTACGATGGGGATCGCAGTGGAGAGAAAACTTATATTGCGTACCTCGTGACGGTGTGAGGAATAGATACCGAGGATTGATAAGGTAAGCAAAAAACAAAAAAAAAAATGCGGAAGCACAATTCATACGTATGAATGAAGAGCTTGAGAAGCTGGTAGACAGATGCAGGGGCTCACAGAAGGCTTCAAGACCGGAGCATACTCTCATAGGAGGATACAAAGAAGTAATTTAGTGCCTGATGCCGCCAAGAGTATACTGAATTTAAGGAGGGAACACTTCGCCAGTTTGCTAAACGGCAGTGCGCATGAAACAGCAGAAGACGG